TGCATTCTGATGAGAGTGACTGATGCTACACTGCACGCCACCAATAGTTACATCGTCGAAGAGTACTACGAGACTTTCATAATATCAAATAATCAATTGGAAGAATTTAAACCGAAAAGAATTATTCTTGTACTTTACGATTTTCTTTCTGGATTGCAAAAAGTCTGGTGCGATATTATCAGCGATATCATCTGAAAAAAGTTCATAAGTATTATGTACGTAGTTACACGACCATCCCCACTACGCTCGCTTAATTGATGTTGGAACAAAAAGAAACATTGACAATGAGGATAGCCTTCGTCACACGCGTCTCAATAGTGGCAGTCTGATTTTCTGTATATGTATACAGGAATAACGAATCTGTTTTTCGTAAATCATTTCGGTTAATCGTTTCGTTTGGTCGCGTCAACTGTCTCAAGCGATCGACCAAATGATCGCGTTTTTAGACACTAATTTGGAGAGACGGGGATTAACACTAGAAGTTCCGACGATAAACGTTACATCTATTTCTATCGGATCGGTAAACATGACAAACTTTTGAGGTTATACAAATTTACAAATAAAGTAATATCTTCATTTTTATACTGCAATGAAAGTTATGAAAGATTTGAGAAAATCCATTGTTATAACATTTAAACATCGTTTGTCATTAATATCGTTTACAATTATATTAACATTTAATATCGTAAAAAATCTGCTAACCTAAATTTTGATTACTTTCGTAGTTCTAATGTTAAATGGGATGTTTGCAAGAGATTATTAGACAGTTGTTCTCTGTTAAGACTTTGATCGAGTAAAATGTTGGATTAAAGTTTCTTTTAAGTTTATTCGTGTTTCTTGTTTATAAAATTGATCACGGTTCATAGTTTCTGGAACACTTGATGAGAGAACCTTAAAATACTTTGTATTAGAAGAGAGACTGACGTGGAAGTACAGTGTACAGGTGGAATACCTGTTGCAAAAATCCATAAGATGTCTAATAACAATAATGGAGCCGCGTGCACATTGTTTTCGGTTTTAGGTACAAGGAGGAAAGCCTTCTACAGCTGTTTCAAACTCACCAAATTGAGAATTTGTCATATATTAAAAACTTAATTACTCCTGACTACCCCTATAGACAATTTAAATTGGACTAAACTTCAAAATCAGATATAAACTTTCAAATTAATGAGATCGAGTACACTTCATGAATTATTAAGTGTATTATAACTCTTCCATTAAAATGTACTCGTACATGACTCTAGTTTCATAAAGCTCCAAGCTTTCACCGATCAATTCAATAAGACCCCTTTTTGCCAGCAAGTAAATTCATAAATTAACAATCGCGATATAATTCTCGAAATTGAAACCTGAATAAATTTTCTGAAATTTTTTACTATAACTGAACGTTAGACGATCGAACATTCGAACAAAACGACAAAAAATTTCACTGGACTTCAGTAGCTCAACAGCCTTCAACACGTGTTGGAGATGCTCGATTTTATTCACTTGGGACTCCATCAGTTTTTTAACTAAAGCTTCATTGCTACCATCGCAATACCAAAAATTGCTTAACAACTCTGGTACAGGAAGGAGAAGCTATTCAATGGTATGTAGTGGCATCGCGTACAAGCAATTTTTATTGGAAGAAATTCATCATGGAATAAAATCCGTACTTTTAGACAACCTTAAGGCGGCAGGATAAAAAATACTCCTGGCAAGAAATTATCAGAAAGACAACCCAACTCTAGGTACACTTTTCTCCGGTTTGGACACATACATATGTATATTTCGAAACAATATTTTTTAAGTGTTTGCCATGTTGCTGAGAACGTTCCAATCGTCCGTGGAAGAGTACAATTAATTCGCCAATTTTTTGTATAAATTTTAGAAACACGTTTTTTCCTTTGTTTTCAGACACTTTCCTACTTACTATCGATTAGTTTGTAAAGGAAAAACTGACGAATAAGACAATGAAAAAGAAGTTGCAATTCCATTGAGCGGTTCTAGAAAAAAATTTATTTACAGTTGGATTGTTTTTTCAATAATTTTTTACCAGTATTCTTTACCATGCCCCCTTAATATTTTGTCGATCAACGTCTAGAACGAGGCAAACGCGTAAGTAATCGACGCGCGTGTTTCTTAGCAAACGGTGGCAAAGTGCTACTGTGAAATCATTGATGAGGCGATCTTGTGCACGGCGGCGGTTTAAGGTTTCTCGCGGGGAATGCAGTTAACCGTGTAAAACACTGTTCGCGAGCCACGTAAGAATTGAATCGATTCAAATCGCTGGTAACGCTAACGTAAGATTAAATGGGGAATATTGTTGGCGTACCGGTAATGATGATTGATACATGATCACTCCTCTGTTCAGGCGGTTTCACGAAGGAGACTCGGGGGAACGGATAGCGTGGAGAATCAGGAACGGGAAAAGTAAACTATGATTGGATGTCGATACCCTTAACCCTTTCGTTCCCACTATGGCCATACGGATGCGCATTATAAATTAGGAAATAAAATATTGGTATCCTATTGTTTTTTTTTTCATATCCACGAGTATGTAACACGTTTCCTCTAGTCTTATACAGATAGCGTGACGAAAATTTCTATATGCATCGTATGAACTTATCGGTAAAAATCAGACATTATTGTCCTTTGTTCCTTTCGTTTGCTGGAACTAAAGTGTCCAGCATTGTTAGCAATACAATACGAAAAACTTGTAAACAGACTACGGATTTCATGCGTCTATAGCACACACGATTGTCTGAAACTGGATATATTGCAATGTAATAATAAAGTGTGGTCAAATTTTTTATTCAATTTAGATCCCGATAAAAGTCACGATGAAATGTAGAAACTTCTGTCTGATTCTATTCTCCATTAATTAGTCCATTAAAATTGATCTTTGCGTATAAATATCCTTAGTCTACTTATTAAGGCCTTAATTTCTTTCGAATATTTCAAGAGGGATCAGCTTTTAATATGTTACAATGTTATTTCGAATCATTTCTATAGTTTGATATAGATGAACATACTACAAGAATTTTTTTAGTCCTTTGTTTTTTGCAATTGTCATGTAACTAAGGCTAATGGCTGATGCAACCACGCGCATGAAATTGTCGACGTTCGGAGCAGAAACGAATATTCAGAACGTTGAGGTCCAGTTACGAGAGACGGAACGTTATGTCAATAAGTCCGAGATATGTAGGATAGACAAAGACTTTCTCTCGGCGCTTTCTCTGGTCCGTGGTTCACGATCAAAGAGACACACATACTCATACGTGAACTGCAGATTAGCAGAGAGACTGAGGCATTCGTATCTTATGGAAATCTCGCGGTCGCAAAAAGAAAACAGCAGAAGAAAGAGGAACAGTCAATTCGCGTATTCTGTCAGAGCCTCGACTATCCTGAAATGACGTCACCACGACAGCCATTATACATGCGTTACGCGCGAAAACATATTTATTCCTATTAATGACAGAAGTGGAATGGAAGTTAACTATATCGTAGACGCTTCAATGAATATTCGAATGTTACTCGGTAAGTGACGTTAATGTGTACAATAGTGTTCAACACTAGAACTACCACCATTGAATGAATACTAAATTAAATTGTATAATACAATAATATACAGAATATATAAGACAATCTAGCATAATATACCATAAAATAAAATTTGTAGCAAATTAGAAACCAACATAAATTCCGTCAAAAGCACCATTATAATTTCAGTAATGGTAAAATAATTAGTAATCTGTAATTCCACATTTTGAGGGGTTTGGTAGTTCTAGTGTTAAATAAAACGTTCGATCGTTGAGGATAGAATTGTTGTACAATCTTTCGATGCAACATAATTGTCTCTGCTGCTATTGACATTTACCATATAAGAGGAGACCGACTAAATCTGTTGAGCAGTTATTTAAACAAGATTTTAATCACTCGAAATAATATATAATCCTGTTTTGTTGAAAAAAGAAACTAAATAAAGGTAAAGGCTTTTTATCTTTCATATAATTTCTAGAATTTATTATCTAAGTGAAAATATTGCACGCCTCTGTTTCTAAAAAATTGAAATATCTATTATTGTATAATAGTAATATATCTACCTCTGTTTTAAAAAACAATTTATAATTGACAGTTTTATATGAATACATATTATATGTACATACTTGTGTACATACGTGTATAATAGTATAATTACTATAATCGTTATATCCGTATAATCGATTATCTTTTAAGAATCTGTTTACTCTCTATGCCGGATATTTATTGGTGAATTACTCGTAAAAGTGGAAAATACAGTTTAAGTATTTAGTATTGCCAATAATATTACAAATTAATATATTAAGACCATTCATATAGTTATACTTGCGGGTGTACCCTAGAGACCGCAGACTGTAATACCAAATACAGAAATTACAATAACTGCAGTTTGTAATGAATCTTATATCTGTTTAGCTTATTATACAGAGAAAAGATTATTATTTATTGGATTTAAAAGATTATTACTTATTATTCTCAGTATACCGTAATACGAATATTTTTACGATAAATTGCTTATCATTACTAGATCGCAAATTATTTAAATCTTGATAAAAAGGGAATTTTGACAAAACTTAAACAATTTTCTGTTCCTTGCTTAACCAATAAAACCATTAATAGAGAAAATACATTCATTTTCATTCTTATTCTCATAGAAGAATCTTCAAAAAATTGGAATTCGCATGAACGTTTCACAATCCAATCGTTGAGTTTTCGAACTTATCGTAATGTCGAATTATGTAATAATAATCACGTTGGTTCATTGAATGTTATTCTTTCCATCGAATATCGCGAGATATAAGAAAACGATTGCAACATAACGTCAAAGAAATCGTTTGAGTCGTTCACCTGTACAGCGTTATATGATTATTACCTCCGAACGTTATTAAATACGTATCGTTTTTTTCTACACTTATTCCTTTTTACAGCGCGTTTCATAATATTGTCGAGTTATTCTTAGTCAGCATTGGCAGGGAGAACGTATTATAGGAATCTGACTGACGGTGTATGCTTTTCAGGGAAATGCCTGCGATAAAACTTTTCGGACGAAAATGGCTAGCCGCAACCGATGATCTCGTGTACCCGGGCTTGTTCGAGATTTTCATACGAACCGTATGGTAAGTAGCTTCTCTATTACTTCCGTTAACAATTTCGACTCATCATAGCGGTATATCCGTGTGTGTTTGCATGAACGATGCGGTTCGGCAATATTTTCGCCGAAAAGAGAACGGAAAGATAAAAGAAAAAGGACGTGAACGGAATAACCATACGTTTTATTCCGTTTCTCGTCTGTCGAGAACGATGGAGATGCCCTTTGTTAATATTTCAATGTTTCCTTTTCTTTTGCGTTTTGTACGCGTTCATGAAACTTCCCAAACAATACAGTAGCAATATATATATATAATATAATACTCATATTAAAATATGTACAATATCGGTGAAACGTCTGTCAGAAAGAAGGATAAAATGATTCAGCATCTCAATATTTCTTGTTTGAACATGCTCGTAAAACTATCCAAAAACTAGGAAACATAAAAATAAGGTACAGCAACGAGTATTCGCCATATTTTGTTGTTTTAGTAAACCGAAAACTTAGTTTAATATTCTATATAAATATGGATGAACGAAAACGGATATTACTGATGTGGGTCAGGGTTTCGTTCTCTTTAATAATAAATATTGAATTTAAGAGTTCGTGTGGATTTCTTATTGGTATACTTAATAACATATGTTTTGTATAAGGTTTTGTGAAATTATGAGATACCAAAAATTGCAATTCTGAGGAAAAATGAATGAGTTGTATTAGGAAAGAAGCCAATTGAAAAGTCGGCAGAAAGGAATGTAATTGATGTAAAAGGAAATATGTATCTCTAAGTGATTTTATACTTCTAAGTTAACTTCTAGTTTTCAGTAGTTACTAGAACAAGTGAAACGTAAACAGTTTTCGAAACAAATATTTCCATCATTTATACATATAGATATATACCTACATTAAATATACATCGTGTATTTCTCTTAACTGAGTTAACATTTAGAAGATCTGTAAGCAGTATACCTGGAACAATTGGTAATGTTATATAACAAGATGAATATACTGTGTAAACTGTTTTTACTTGACAACTTTTTTACTGGAATTTGTTAGCAATTTACACTCTCAATCTTAAATGAATTGTGAACACATGGCTGATAAATTTTCCTCCTAATACAGAGTGCAGATTGTATCTTTAAGTAATTTTGCGAAACATCATGTTCAGCGAGAGACCAGGAATAAATAATTCCCAATATTCATACCGTAATCTGTGTACTTTTTTTGTAAATAATTAAGTAGCAAGCATATGTAACTACGTCAGAGGACTTGTGACAGAATTTCGACAGAATTAATTGTGACGTTCTTGTGTACACTTAGATAGAAATAATGCAATGACGGAACACTTAAACTGTGACACCTCATACTGAATGTGTATCCTTACTAATAGAAACTGTAACTGATTTCTATTGTAACAAAAAACATTCTATACAGGTTGGACTATTGGACAGGAACGCCTTAAAAGTTATTGTAAATACAGGAAAATATCATAAGACGAAATTATGCAATTATAATCTCCTAAAATAATCCACTATACGTAAGAAATACGTAAAAAGAATGCAAAATAATGTCATAATTGAGGTCGCATTTGAACAAATTTTTACCATAGAAATCTTATAAGGTCATTAACTCTTAACTGGTGAGGTGGAAATCTTGTTACTTAGTACTTATTAGACAAATCGGATGATGTTTTTACACCAGTTGTCTTGCATTCTCATATAACAAAACGTCGAAGTAAACAAGCAGTTCTTTAAATAACTGTTGAATAAAAATGAAATGTTCTAAAAATATTCATGGGGTTTCTCGGTCGCCGTCTCACCAGTTAAGGGGGAAGACCACTGTGAAACTTAAAAAATATCGATGTTCTTAAAATGCATTTCCTTAAAATTTAATTCTTCGAAAACACTATCTGAAAATTTCATATCGGTATTCGAGGAATTGACAAAGGTGCAGTGCATCTAGATTACATAAATACTTTCAAGTCAAACTTTAAACGCGTTTTTCTCGAAACAATATTTTTCTAATTGGCGATGACATTAACGCTGTCAGTTTTTATTCAATCGACTTGAAATTTTGACAGGATTCTTAAAACAATATTACCTTCACCTGCACATACGGATTTTGTGACCAAAAGTGAATTTTTTAAAGTACACTCGAAAAACTGTCCATTTTTTTGCGGATTTTCGAAACTTTATTATCTAAAGCGGGCCATTTTGACAAAAATAATTTTTTTTTAAATTCTGTACGTGAAACGGAAACTAATCTCCCATAGTTTATGAAAACATTTTAATGAATCGTATATTAAAACTTTTGCATGTCTTTCTATTTTTTTTAATCCCTTAAGACATTATACTAAAACTAGGTAATAAAAGTTTTATGTGGAAACTGTAAATTATTCCTGAAAAAATTCTTAAAAAAGGCCTATTTTCCTGGCCATCACAGTGGTGTTCCCCCATAAGGGTTAAAAATAATCCTAATTTCGATACAACGAAGTATAGAAAGAATTTAATGTCTCGAACAGGATCAGATAAGCAGTCTTGTTCTGTCGATCTGACTACATTGTACTCTGATTTGTTTGCTTTAGGGCTCACTTGTCTCAGAGACTATTACTCAAATGAGAATCCTGCCAGGATTTATTTAAGTGTGTGTATCGTCGAATGCAAATTGTGTACGTATTAAATTACTTTCGATGAAAGAAATATAGTGTAGATAGTGAAATCGACCAGAAACTAAATAAAAAGCCCATGTTTCGGAGACTAGAAGAAAAAAGTTTACAGAAATATGGGATATGGAAAGTGTTGTGACCAGGGTCTCAATTCAGTTGTGTAAAACGCGAACGTGAACTTCAATACTGCAAATATTAGTTTTCGTACTATAGAGACAAAATTCTCGTTACGTACATTATTACAAAAAAATAAAAATTTACGAATTGTTGCGTACAAAATACAATAGGATCTGTTTACCAATGAGTCTTTACACCTTTTGCCAAAAATATTAGTAAAGCACCCCAAAAATATGGACTTTTATAAACATTTTTTTATTAGGAGGATATTGTTCGTCCACCCTTTGCGCAAAGGCCCCTTGCGCACCCTTCGCCCATCACAACAATCGCTTTCTGACTTTTACCTTGTTCTTTTAAAAAACGAATTAATTTGCGCTGATCGTCACTTACTTCAGTCTTTTTTGGCATATTTCAAGGAAAACTTTGTAACGTTATAAATATTAACAGAAAAGCTAGAGTCAAATTTATGTGTGTTATCAGTGAATAGTAACAGCAGACTCTTACTGTTATGAAGAAACACAAAATATAGACTATAGACCGCTCAGTTACTTTTTTTGGTCCACTATAGACCTTATCTACTGTTTTAAAATTCCATTGAACTGTCCGCCAAAGGATGATGAACAATAGAAAGGCATCAAAGGAATAATTTTCGCAGCAAGATGTAATAATACAGGTGCCTAATACTTTTGGCCAAGGTTGTGTAACTACACTACAGAGTGATCCGCGATGAATCCGACAAACTTCTTCACCTTATTTGACAGGTTATTCGGAGCCAAAACTATCATGTGCACAACGTCAGTTTGTTTTGATTTCTTTTTAAGTATGACGAATTTAAGAAAACCTGCACTTAGTGATGGGCTCTGAAGCACTTCGAGTCCCTTCGAAATTGACATTCAAACGACCATCGCTATCTGTAAACACATTCCCGTATATTTACATTTCGACGACTCGTTTGCTTTAAAGAAAATGAAATTCGAATCAGAGTACAGTTCCCCGAGGCAATTGTTAATTCATTTTAATTTCATGCAGGATGCAATCCGTAACGCTTGAAATAAACAAGTTTACTTTACAAAAGGTTTTAATAGAATTACACATCGTGACACACAACGAATAAACACATCAAAAGGTCTGAAAACAAATGCATTCTCGGCTCGTTGCATTCTGTTCACGTATTCGGTACGTCTTTGACCGTAAAACGAATTGAAAGTGTAGTTTTATTTCCTTCGGATATTCTATGTTCTACGTTTATAGAAAACTAGAGTCGTATCCTTTATTACCAAAACGAATAGTCCATTCTGTAGTTATTGTTTAATACGACGAGTGTTTTAAAGTGTAACGTACAAGGAGTAATTATTAGAACAATAAAATACACTCGTGAACGGTATATTTCCATATTATTTACAATTGGGAGCAACGTTAAGTCACAAAAAAAGTTCGACATATTTTATTTAACCACACATTTGGTTATTTTAATGAGACCTCAAACGGTTAAATGTACCAGAAGGAATTGTCAGTTCCATCATGGGACACCCTGTATATCGTTTCCCCCTGAAGAGTGATATAATACTGACATAATATACTATAAGAGATAATACTGATGTAACTCCAGAATACATGGATTTTCGTCTTTTTTTATTTTCTATTCGAATCTGTTCACAGGTTACTTCTCATTGGAACCGCCAGCGTTAGATACTATCAGTACACATGGAACTGTCGGTTAGGAGGCGATTTGGTTCGCGTGTATCTTCTCGGACAAGTGGCGTTTCTTGTGCTGACCATGCTTCTCATGCTAATCATCGTCAGACAGAGCGCAAAAGGGTCTATTATGGAAACCCAAGCTCGTAAATACGTGGAGCCGCTCTTGACAGTTAAGTGAGTGAACGTTCGAAAATTGCACAGGCAGCTTATTCCATTAAACAAAATACAGGCTTTCGCGCGCTAGAAATATATTGTGCGGCTCAGATTGATTTCAACATACGCTTGGAATGTTCAGATACACACCATCCGTCGTTATTAACCCTCGAAAGGCGGACGTTTTTGATGATCGAATGGATGTATACAGGGTGCCCCAAAATAGGTGTAAGTCCTTGAAAGAGGCGATTTCTGAGGTGATTTGAAACAACTTTTTCCTTAGCAAAAAAGTTGTCAGAGGCTTTGTTAATATCTTGATATTAACAAAAATATCCCGACCAATCAGAGCACGAGTCTGCCAGTTGAGCTCCCGCGGTAGGGCGTAGTCATCATTACCGCATGAGCTCAATCGGCAGACTCGTGCTCAGATTGGTCGGGATATTTTCGTTACTATCTCGTTAACAAAGCCTCTGACAACTTTTTCACTAAGGAAAAAATGGTTTCAAATTACCTTGGAAATCACCGCCGGATTCACCCATTCAAGGAATACAACTATTGTGGAACACCCTGTATAAACCTCGTCACGATATAGCACCATACGCAAGCGAAACGCGACGGATTATTCTACTTCAGGCGCGCCATTCAGATATTTTACGCATTGGTTTCATTAATTTCATTTTGTTTCATTCATCCGCTAACAAGGGAACGAATCCAACTGGCAGACTTCGATTTTAATAGGATTTTATAAGATGATAATATACAGATTCCTAATGATGCATATGAAATATTTAGTGTAGACATTTCATAATTTTAAAGATATATAGGAACCTTCAAGATATACACGGTGACCCACCTAACGTGAGCACCTTTAGTATCTCACTTGCTTTTGATTTGTAGAAAATGTATTTTAATAAATGCACTAATCCCCCTATGGTAGCTATTTTATTATTTAAATCTACTCATATATTTGTGAATTTTTCGTACTTAAGGTCACATGAAAGTCACACTATTTTAAGTCATTTGTTTACTCTTCATCTCAGCTACAATGACACGCTGATAAAAATATGTAGTCCCATTTAAGAAAACATCGATGACCAACGAGACAATTTCTAAAAATATGGCCTTCGGAAAATTGTTGCTTATTATAGTATTTACTCCTTCGTAAGTATAACGAAATAATACTTCCTCCTCACATTTTTTTGTATATTCAAAAACAGATGAGATATTGGAGGTGCTCACATTAGGTGGGACAACCTGTATTATGAATATAAGTTAATGTTGTCAAAATTGCGTTGGCAAAGTAACCAAACAAAAATATTTCGTTATGCGGGAATCGAACCCAAGACCTCCGATTTACCAGCCAAACAACCTCATACTTCGATCAATTTACCCTATATTCATAGTACATCTTAGAGATACGTAAATTTGATTGTTTACATTTTTAAATTTATCGAGCATCTACACCTAATATTTCACATGTATCATTCAGTATTTGTATACTATCATCTTACAAAACCCCATTAACACTTTGCTTGCGAGAGGGTTTTCGTGTTTGAAAATATACATTTCAGGTGTTCTAAAAATATTTAGAAACTACTACTTAACTTTTATTTGTCAAACATTACATACATATAATGTTCTAGTTCATATTTAAGAAGGATGTACTACTATGACAATCGCCCTTAACTTTTTGTTTTTTAATAGACGTACTATCACGTCTACTACTCCCTGCTTTTGTTTTTTAAAAAACGTACTACAACGTCATCCAACATCAAAGTGTCAAAATCAGAGTCGGACAGATCGGGTCCTTCCTTTGTAAGTCATCAATCGAGACCGTGTATCAGCTGGGAATTGGCTGTTCGAGTAGTGTACTCCATCCCGTTAGACTGTATTTTAAGCATATTTTTCCTGTATTCTCAAATTAATAACTGGGAATCGAATCCTCGAACGCCATTTTGTCCATCTTGATTTTAGAAGTGTTTGTAAGTATTAATATATAGTTGAGTTTAGTAGTAGAATCCACCTTGTGAAAGTGTCCAACATTTTTATTAACACCTTATACATATATTAGGGTGGTTCTTATTGTCGACTTTCGAATTCTTTTCGGTGTCCCCAAAAATAGTTCCAATTAATAAAAAAATAATCTGTGTGAAATTTCAGCTCGACTGGATGAGGACAAAAGGAGCCCCTGGCCCCTTAAACATTTAAATAATTACTTATACGCACACAAACCCGATTTTACTGGATTATCCTCTAAGTTATTGATTTTATCAAAAAACATTCAGACAAAAGTTGCAGATCCAGACAAAGAGCCTTTTTTATGTTCCACTACTTTTTTCGAGAAAAATAAAAGAAAGCCTGATGATGGCACGAAAAAAGTCTTAAACAATAATTATCATCAAGAGTAAATAAGAGCCACCCTACTGTATTAATACATGTGTACCTACCCATTAAAAAATGTAATCCTTTATTTCCAATAAGGATAACAAAAAATTTAACGTTTAAATAAAACAATAAACTGGGTATGTTAGAGCCCACCTGTCCAGTTAAGTAGTAAGATATTCATCTCGCCAAGTTAAGGTTTAAATACAAGGTATTTAAACCTTATAAATTAAGGTGAAATAGATACCCCCTATATGTATAGACGGGTGCCTGTATGTTATAAATTACACGGATTGAAAGTACGGATACGTTAATACACGAGTCTACGAGTATCTGAATACATTTGAAATAGAGGCGTCCATTAATTAGCCTTAGGCAAATCGTTAATATTTCATGTCGGTGCAACGTAACCGACAAGACGTACTCGAATCAAACTTTTTTCACATAACTGTTTTTGCTCGCTTAGTGACGCATGTTCATCTTCACGGCACATTATTAATACTCCAGACAACAAGTGAACACTATCGCGGAAATGTAAATGAAAATGCATCGATTTTTCCACTGTTGTACCCGCTCATAATGCAAATGAAAATTCATAAGAAAAAACGATGGAATATTCAAATTTCCCGAAGAAATATCTTTCCGCGTGAAAATATCTACCCGCTAACCTAGTATGTACACGTTGTAGAAAAATTAATAGTCATGGCTTCAGGGAGTGAATCTCCACTCCCTCGATCGGTGGACATTTGTAAAGAAAAACATGCTACAAAATTGTTTATGAAATTGAAAATTAATGTTAAATTTTCGTTTTACACCAGCATTATCTATTCCTCCGATAATCGAGATTCTACTGTATTAATATTTTCTTGTAAAGAACGGTTGTCAAATATTCTTTTACTGTTATTCAACCAGTAAGGATATCATAGCGTAAACATATTTTTTTAAATGCACTTCTAACGTTAAATTGTAAGATTTCATCATTCACTATAAGAATAACATCATTCACTTCTAATCAGCAAACCCAAAGGAACAAAAAAGTATCATTTTAGACGTGCGTAATGTACAGCGTAAAATGATTGATGTGCGTCGGAAATACTTTGAAATTCAAATACAAAGTGTATAATTGTTCATTTCTTCTCATCTGGATTCGTTGTGTAAGAAAAACAAACATGTTTCGTAAAAACTGCAGTTCAACGTTATGTAGAGCAACACTTACCTATGAAAATTGCATACATATAGTACACAATGTCCAATTTAGAGCAAAAAATTGGCAGTAGCGACTACTTATTAGAAGTCTACTTTCAAACATTCACATGTGTCAAGCTTCTAAGAAAATGTGAAATGCGATGTTCACTGGTGATTGGTTAACACCAGCCATCTAGTGTTCATTTCAAACTATACTTTATACTTTCCCTTAAAATGACTTTAACAGATTTCCGGATTGAACATAGTCTTTATTGTCATGTATTGGCCAGCGCAAAGATTTTGTTGAATATTATGTAGATGATATGATCACCACGGTTTTGTTGAAACAATACAAGTCTCTATTAATGTATTATGTATCGATGTCAATTGTAACACGGTAAACTATTGTTTAGAACAAAAATTGACGTAATTGATTACAGTTTACTGTTTTAAAATTAAATTGAATATGAGATTTTACATATCCCATTTACGTGTCACGAGTTTGTAGAGGAATAAACGTTAATGTGCTACTATAAATATTCCAAGTAATTAATTTCTTAAATCTCAAGCTTAATAAAACATCATTTCAATTATCAAAATACGCTTCGTTGTCATCTATGCATTCCTCACACCGTTCTGTAAGCAGTTTTATTTCTATGCTATACAAAAAAAAAGTTAACGGAAGTAGAACGTCGAAAAACTGCATAATACACAACGGTAGTCAGTCACGCTCTCGCATGAATAACTTCTATCATATTGCGGTGGGTGTAAATGCCGACAAGAAGATTTCAGTGGTAAGCTCTGTCTCTCTACTTCGTAGGTCCCAGTTCCTGTAACCTTTGTTCTTATTAATGAAAATTCCAAATACAGGTGAAAATCTTTAGAGGCGTGAGCAACCTAATGAACCGCTAGATCTGCATTATCCATTGAGCGATCTTTAGCGAATTCCTCGTCCCAAACACGAATCTGGAAACACAACTGCCCTATCACTCTCAGTTTTTAGAAACACGAGTTTCTTTAAAGTTAGTCGTTGTTCTGTTCTGTTCAGTTTAGTCGTAAAAGATAGAGGAAAGTCACCTAAGTATATAATTGCATACAGTTACTAAATTTTGTGGTTTGGAATGGTTCTAAATAGTCATCAAATCTAAAAAGATTAAATTAAAAATTTAGGAAAAAACCCGACACAAAAAGAACAGTTTATTAACTGAAAAAGTAAGTTACGAAACGTTAAAAAGTATGAAAAAATTACTTATTATATAATAGTATTTATTTCACCTTTATTCATATACAGGGTGAACCACAAATTGTGATCAGTCGAGATTACTCTGTTATTAGCAGTCCGATCGACAATGTTTTTATCAGGTGTATCATAGTTTCAAGAGAGCTTTAACGTGATTATAGCAAATTTTTTGTCAACTCTTTGTTTTTCATGATTTTTCAAGGTCACCTTCAATTTTTTGCAAATGCAACTATAATTTTTTTATGCCTATCTGTTAGAGGATTTCAAGACGAATTCAATAAGTATCATAACCTAACTTTTACCTTAATTTAAGCGATGTTCAAAATGGTACCCGTCAGCTGCAATGCACTCGCGTGGACGACGAATAAAAAAGTGTTTAGCACTTTCTATGACTTCGGCACTGATAGCTGCACTTGAAACCATGCTATACCTGATAAAAACATTTTCGATCGGACTGCTAATAACAGAGTAATCTCTACTGATCACGATTCGTGGTTCCCCCGGTATAGTATAGTCCAGGCCTGGCAAACACGCGGCCCGCCATGTTAAATTGTGCGGCCTGCCAGGCGATTTTATATTTCTATTGAAACTGTTGTTTCTCGTTGTATATATACAAAAAATATTAAATAAATGAAAATTTGCATGTGTCATTGTTATAATGCGCAAATTCCACTACGAACTCCAGTTCTATGTTTGATATCCACGAACGCCAAATGTTACTGAAAGAATCGGTTTTACACTTAGTAATGTAGGAGAATTGAATAATGACAATACTTATATTACAGCCGAGAGATATTCCAACTTAAAATATTTTGCACACCGAGTTTTTTTGGATCCACATATGTTTGTGAAACATGATTTTCGAAGATGAAATTTACAAAGAGTTCTATAATATTTATTTTGAATTCTTACAATATTGAAGAATGCGTCGGGAACTGTAGTGAAATGTTAACACGAAAAAAATGAAAAAGAAAGAAGTAATAGTATCAACGTAGGGGTGGTTTACTGTACTCGTATGTATCTTCTTAATTCTTTTTTATAACATTTTACAGCAGTCCGCGAGGCATTCTTAAATACTATAAGAATTCAAAGTACAGATTATAAAATAGATGAGTTTCAATTATAGGAATTTATTACTATATCAGATCAGAAAACTGAATATAATATATTGAGATTATACTACCTATAACAGAGAAATAAATAACATGATACAATAAGTTATTTTTTCATACTTTTTAAAGTTTTCGTACCTTATTTTTTCAGTTAATGAACCGTTCTCTTTGTGTCGGGGGTTTTTAAAAGTTTTAATTTAATTTTATTTCACACGTTTTGCTACGGGGGTTAACAACCATAGCAGAGATCCCTTCAAAAATCATGTAGAAAATTAAAAACCCTGGAAAGTATTGAACCGATTTTTACTAAACATGGCTATTAACCTACCCAGAATTATACACTTTAAAACAAAAAAAAAGCCGCATCAAAATCGGATCACACAACATAGGCATCAAACTTATGACAAGCTCTTTTTTGCGTCGGGGGTTAAAAAAGAAGTCCATATGCGTACTGTCTACGCACTATTGCCACATTTGTACGACAAATTCGTCACCTAGCACGAAATTGGCTGCACAGTATCGGATTCTGTATACGATACCGATCGATTTCGTCCATCAAACCAGGGAATTGACTCTCAAGTAGTATAATCCATCGCGTCAGACATATTTTTCACGCATATCTATTTCGCCTGTATTTAAACAACAAATTTCGTCATTCCAGATTTTCGTATTATTGTAGCTTGGCATCCATCCTGTAAAAGTGTCTCACATTTTTCCTAAACACCTTATAGATAATGCATTTGCCTGTCTCTCTGATAGGTATAATCTAGCTTTTTAAAAATTTTATGCAAAGAAGGCTTCATAAGTAAAAGCTTCGATGCGTCTGGTGGAGACGACACGCACTTCCACTGATATTTATTTTCCGACGATTCCACAGGATACTGCTGCTCCTTCCCGAGATATCATGGAACATTTTAGGAAGCATATGGATGTTCGGCGGTAGGGTTGAATGCAGTTACGACCATTACACCATCACCGTGGTGCAAGCTCTGGTGCTGTTCGACTGGATCCTGATTGGGCTGACGATTTTCGGGCTGGCATTAATGTTCGACCCGTTAGGCTCGATGGGCGACAAAAATCTCGACAGCCTGGCCGAGCACAGCAAAGCGTCCCACATTTGGCTACGTAGATTTAAATTTCTCTGGTGGATGCGAAAAGACGAGAGCGCTAATGAGACTTTTCAACATTTCGCTGGTGAGACATAGGTACGGCTGGCCTGGAAAGAGTCCTGCCGCATTGGAATATAAACAATGTCGCTTCGTAGACTCTCTAGGAGAAATGCCTCCGAGCTCGTGTGGTTCAGGGTGTCGTTGGTTAGTAGTGGGTCCGCGAAACAAATGGTTCGAACGGTTTCGTTACCCACCACGAAACGTTAGTCAAGTTTTTGGTAACTTTACAGTAAATCCTCGATGAGTGTTCGAAGGCTCCTCGGCACTGACAAGCAAAAGTTCCCAGGTGTAACGCTGACTTTTTAATGAGGTTTAGCACAGTATTAGTACTTGGAATGTTGAAACCCATTAGTTTATTAAATATTTAATGTTCAGTGCCGAGGAGCCTTCGAACACTCATCGAAGCTTTACTGTACTGCGTTCACGCTGCATTAGTCGCATACACCCTTGGTTGAGTTGAAATCATTTATGCGTACACTCACCCATAAGTATGCACTATAAAACTGTGCAATAAAGTTATTAAGTATTTATTGTTCAACCCTCAGACTAGTACGAATTTGCACCAGCAAAACATTGTTTCGTCTGTTCGTTTTGAAATTTACCATCACTTTATAATAAGTTTTTATAATTTAAAAATTATTGTCACTTTCACAATTATTACCATTGAATTTCTTAGGAAATTTTACCGCTAAGAAATTATGTTACGAATACAATTTGCCTTTATTCACCTCAACTTCTTAATCGTAAAAAATTAAACATCCCAATTCGCAATAGTGTGGTGTTTACGTATACTGGGGTGGGGTGTGATTTCTGAGGGATAAATGAATAGATAAATAAAGAAGTTCTTAACAATTTCATTGTATAGTTTTATAGAGCATGAAGAGCCACCACCATAAATGAAATTTTCCAGAAATGTTGCTTGGTGATAAGTCCTTTTAAAATTTACATATTTATGTGGTCTCCTACAGACTGTTGCACCCTGTCTTTTTGATTTTTGAATACAGTATTTATCGTCGTGAAACGCGTTTCTCCTTGATAATTATATGAGATTATACTTAATACTTTCCATTTACAATGCAATGTATAGTAACAGATACACTACCTAACAGAGACTTCATCGAGATTTTATGTCAACCGTCCAACTCGTGCCGCTCTTTCTTTATCTGTGTTCGAATAGCCGTGGTAGGCAGGACTTCTTTTACCGGGTAAATTCGTAGTAAAATCCACCTTGTACCATTTAACACATTCATTAGTAGAGCACTAATAGAATTCTTTTCTCGATGTACAAAGGCGTATGATGTCCTGTCATTACATCATTGTAGTTTCTTTAGCATTTAAGCGAAATAAAAGTGTAGACTGGGAGCTTGAATACTGTTTATGCTTCCACCTTAGAATTTGTGTCTCGTTGGGAAAATGAATGACGTTTAGAGCTTCAACGTTTATTTTTCATTCTTCTAGGATTAATCAGCTCCCTGTTCCGAGGAACGGACTTGGTTCCCTCTGACGTGGTCGCTGGCTGCATCTTGTTAAGGATACGACAGAAACGTGAAACTCATGAATTACGTCGTCTCAATCTCCTTGTTCGTCCAGCATGTACAACAGGTATGTTAGATATTAAAAACCACTAACAATCGTTAAATATCCTATCCTTCGTGCGATGTATTCGACGAGTGATTCGCTATATTTTTCCAAATTCAATACTGGGTCCCGAAAAAAAATTGTAGACACACGATCCCATTGTAATGTTTATGATTGCTCTCTAATATTCTGCGCCATCTCTATCAAATATCACGCTGAGAGATGTACATATTGAATTTAAATTATGCCATCATCCTATGAAAATAAATTTAAACTAAACTCTAATATGGAGAAGTAAAATGAAATAGCACGAAAAAAGGGACTATTTTTCAGAAAGTTGTAGTACAATATGTGAATTTTGTATGGAGTAATGATCGTACTTGATATGTATATATATATTTTATTATTATTTTAGATGCGTCCGTCATATTCTCTGATACACCGAGTTGGATGACCTTGGAAACTGCGTTTCATTACATAAAACTTTCAACAGCTTGTTACGGATGGTTGTTCGTCCTTTACAAGCACCTGTGCACAGGATGTTTTCATATTATCCAGAACTTAACCTGTTGTTCCTGTTTTCGGTAAATATAAGAAATTAGATTTCTCACAGCCCCAGACTATCCTGTCACAGTGTCTGATGCAATTGACAATTGTCTTGAATACACTTGTGCTTACATTCGACAGGGTGTTAATAAAAATTTTAGACACTTCCATAGAGTGCCAAATTAATAATGACAAATTTGCGTTGGAGACTTCGTTTCTGGGTTATTTATTGTTGAATATATATGCACAATACGCGTGAAAATTCCCAGTGAAATAAAATGAAATGAATGAAACCAACTCGTGAAACAGGTGAAGAGGGCGCCTCTCAAATAGAATATCCCGTCGTGTGAGACGTATATTACGTATATTTCGGCCATATTTTCAACAATTGATAACTCGAAAACACAGCTTGGAACACAATGTCGTTATTCTTCATTTTCGTCTTACTTCGACATGTAGAATCCACTGTGTAAAAGTGTCCCACATTTTTAACACTATGTATGTTAACAAAATATTCATATTACATGGATATTCATCTCTTCGAATTAAGTACTGGTCTTTAAATAGCCTTTTTTTACTACGAACTCCTTTTCTATAAGATTCTGTACAATTTAGATTAAAGTTACGAATCACTGCGTCAAGTAGCCATTTTTCGAAAACACGATTTTTGCAGTACTAAAAATGTCATAAACTTGACTAACAACTTTCTGTAAACATTTAAACAATTACCTATAAGAACAGAATTAAATGTGGTCATTGGAATATTATACACGAAGTACGTTACGCGTACTCGATGAAAAGCAAATAGTGTAACCTGAATTAAAGGTTTCCCAGTACTAGAAAGTTCCTGTATTAATTAAAGCGTTTGAATTACAGGAGAAAAAGGACCGCAATTAATGGCGACAATTGTTGTTACTGCTATTTGGCCGGCGTGAAATTTCTGTCAGATGTATCCGTGGACGATATTTTATACGCGTCATTTAAGAATCATCTATGCGAGGTTCGTGAGTTCAATTCTTGGTAATTAATGATTTCCGAACGACATCGTCTATCCTCACGGAATCTTTCCGATTTCCAGATCCCTTTCTGTGTCGTCGTCGACCACAAAACTAGCAGTATCGTCATTATTGCAAGGGGCTCTCTATCGTTACGTGATATATTCACGGACTTTGCCGCGGATTCCGACATTTTTGAATGCGAAGGCCTCCCACCGGGATCAATGGTAAGAACTGATATAAACAAATTAGGGGAAAGGTGTCTAAAACGATCCCTTTAAGGCGAGATTTATATAAAAAATACAAATGCTCATTACTTAAATTAAAGTAAAGTAGTCTTTGTCATTTAGTCTATCTATCTTATCATTGGCTTAAATAAAATTTAGCTACTTGATCAATTATATTTTTTATTCACATTTCTTTGAAGGCATACTTAAGGATCATTTTGTAATGTATATGTATAAAATGATCCTCGAGGATCATTTACCTACTGATAGTAAATACGACGAACATTAAAAAGCATTTCAGTTATTATATTTTATTTAAATAATAACAGCTTTGACGCGTTGCTTTTCTTTTATACTGCTGGCGCATTGTTGTAACTAAAACAACAAACAATAATATAGCATATGGGTAAAATGATTCCTGGGATCATTTTATCCTACTAGAGGGATCATGTGACCCCAAACACGCAACTCATAACATCAACTTAATACATGCGGTAACGAAACATTAATTAACTTATTATGGAATTGTGGTTAAATCCGCGCAAGAAGTACCTGTCACATTAAACCGTTTACGACAAAAGTTACACAACATTGAAAAAGACCTTATCTTAGATAAATTGCAGTAATTTTTAATTTTTCTAGTGGACAACACACAGAGCATTGATATTCACATGGCATTTCGAGCAACGACTAGTGACGTGCGGGGAGAACTATTGTAGAACGACATTGTGATATAGCACCACTAATAACCACAGGGTAGCTAGGAATTATTTTACCCCGGGGGATCGTTTTAGACACCTTTCCCCTATATGCGAGTTTAATTTATCTGTTCTAGTACATAGAATCTTTTTAACATACATTTAATGTAAATATTGTATTTAATATATTAGTAACATATATATTAGGTTAGTACTTGAAATTCAACTTTTAAAATATTGATTCAGCACCATTTGTTACCATTTTGTTCTGTATGCTGAGAAACGGGCCCGGGTAACGTTTTATCACATTTCATAATATTTTATAGGTTGCTACCCGCTTATCAATATTTTGATTGACGAGTGTCCATACAACAGGCTCCCTGTAAATCTGAGAGTTGGATTCAGAGAGTATTTATAACAGTATCTATTGCTTTTAGTCAAGCAATTCCAACACAATTATCCTCAAATTAAGAAGTCGATCTTATTAGCCTAATGGTATTATTTTTGAAATAGATTTTTATAAATGTGAATTAACTATTCCTAAAAATTGTTAGTTCATAACTTTCCTTTGTAATAATATTCCAATGTTAACTAAATGGGTTAAAAAGTCATAATACATCGAAAACAAAACTGCATTCTTTCTCTTAAGGAACGCAAAATTCAATGGCTGGTATCAACCCCTATAATTTAACTGAAAGAAAATTTTTAAAATACCATGTTACTTACTCGTAAGGGTAAACACATGGCCTTAGTAGCATTAATGGTTGGCCAACGGTATTCAACAGTTGGGAGTTAGTTGGGATATAGTTAGTGTTTTTGCCTACAAATTCCCAAAATAGGGCTCACGATGAAAAAGTTAGGATAATTTGTCAACGAATATCCAATGTTTGGCCTACAATTATTATAGTTGGTTAATAAACAACATTGGCCCACCCAAAGTTTGCCAACATATAAATATAACCTTCAAGACATCAGAAAAGTTGCTACAACCAAAAACTTGTTATTATATTTCAAATTGATTATTTTGTTTTCTTATTTATGAATATACTCGCACTTTGTGACTGTCGCGCAACACATTTGACATTTGAAATTTTGTGAAAATAGTATCAGGGGACAGAAGATTGGAAATAACTTATAATAATTATTTGTAATAACTAGCTAAATGTATAAATTGTACATAATAAATTGTAAAGGTAACTTTGTTGGTAAAACACTTGTTTACTTGTTTAATATAAGTATACAATTTATACAAGTATATAATTATTATAACAAGCAATTATTATAAATATTATTTCCAGTCTTATAATCCTTCAAATATTTTTAAAGAATTTTATGGAAGTGTAGTATAGCCAACTGTCTTCATATTATTTGTTTATTGTAGATACTCAACAATTGGCCTTACAGAAAAAAAATTGGTCCTTTGTATTATAGTGACGTGGCCCTACGTTGGATATGATCGTTGGCCCAGTTGCAAAAAAGGGTGACAATTCTAACTGTTGGCCAACCAATACTGCACCAAAGGCCTATCAAAATGCCAACAATAATTATTACTAGATAGGGTGATAGGGTACCCCACGAAAAAATACAAAATAATTTTTTATTAAATAAGCACCACATTATACATATACATGTTGTCCCGCGTAAGTGCCGCCACGAAATTTTAAGACTTTTCTTGAAATTCTTCCGTAAATTACATTAACGCCTTACAATGCATAAAAAGAGGAAGATATGTCACAAACATAATAGTATTAGGTTCACCAATGTGTAATCCACTACTTTCTTTACTTGAAAGATTCCAGAAAAAATGTTAATCTTTTAGCATCATTAAAAGATTCAAAATTGTTACAAGAAAAGATTATTAAACAGTGTAAGGGATGAAAATCCACGTTAATACACTAAGGATATTTAGAATTTGAACTTACGTTGTCACCTTACTGAAAGAACAGTGGATTGTTTGATTGGTACGCATGATATAATTAATTATCTAATTCCATGAAAAAATTTTGTGTGCTACTCTATCGATCTTTTATATGTATTATTACTCATGTCAATAAATTTTCTTACATACAGGCTCACAGAAGCATGATAATAGGGGCAAGAGTAATTTTGGGACAGTTAAAGGAAAATAAGATTTTAGAACAAGCGTTCAATACGTATCCTCAGTATAATTTAGTAATTACTGGTAAGTTTAATAATTCCATAACACATGTTATTAACAATTCCACAACCGCTCACGTTGTTTGACATAATTTTAAAATCTATAACTGATCACAATTGACATCATTTGAAATTAAAAGTCCATAGCTGGTTAGCATCTTAATTTATAACCGGTTGTCATTTTATATTTATAAGAAGCCAAATAACTTTATAATCCGTGTTTATGATTGCAGCAGTTATATAATTATTGATTGCTTTTATGTTCATCAATTGCTCTCCTCTTATTTTCAAAGTACAAATGACGTATCTTTTATGCGAATCCTGTAGGATTCCTTTATGCAAAGGCTTTACAAATTGTAATACAAGACATTAAATTTTATTTTTATGTAGACGTATTTCAATATTTTATTTTATTTTAAAAAAATCATGCAATATATTTAATGAATTTAAATAGTGTTTTTGTACCTTAGTATTCCCATATTTATAAATTTGAAATTTATTCTGTCTGGATTCAAGTTGTAATACCATGACCCCTGCAGCAACGATTCATGAAAAAGTACAGATTAAGTTTATGCAAAATGCTTTTCTACATTGCTAATTTGTCAACTACATTAGACAGACAAATGCAATTTACATCATATACTTTCGTCATGCCATAAATTCATACACAACTAGTCAGCTGTTTTATCAATGAACAAGTATATGAAGAATTATAATTGCGTAGTTTGTTGTAACAATTTACATAACACTTCATAACACATCACACTAAATCCGTTTAATAACTAGTATTTTCAATGTCGACTCGAAAGTTTGTCACACTTAATATCATTGTTCTCTATTTCATGGAAACATCAGCATTTACTAGAAACCAGTTAAACTATGACCATTCTCCTCTTAATTAATAGTAGTGCTATCTATTTAAAGTATCATACTATGGATTTGAATAAACTCTTGTTTATTTTTATATAATATTTCTCTTCTAATCTTATATTACACACAGACAACATTGTTCAACACGTAAAAAATTTTTGGCACTTTTAATAAGCGTCTCTGATAGATCTGTATGTAGCTGAATACGAATCTACAAACCGTGTAAAAATCAAGTTTTAAAAAATTTCCAAATTTTCAACTTTGGAAATGTATTGTGATTTTACAGTAATAGTTAGTTAGTTTCTTTTGAAATGACATAGTTCTCTGAACCCGCCTGAACAAAATGGTATAAAATTTTATTATATTAAGACATCTAAATATGTTTAAATAATGTTCAAAGTGAGAAGGACACCGAAAACGCACGTCTTTTTGCTGATATTCTTCAATTTATTTCAAAAAGTAAAGGTCTAGGAGAAAAACTGACCATAGCGCTCGATAGAGCAGACCTTGCTGCCTAGGAAAGTGTCAAGGAAAGTTACCAAATCTGTAGTGTTTTAAATAGGGAAGCGAAATAGTTCAGCAAAACACGCGACGCCGACAATGGTGGCCGTGCGCGCCTAGCGCTTCCGTTACGTTGAGCTGCAGGCAAGACGAAGGCCTGTGAAGTTAGCACCCTCAAATGCAAAATTTTATTAAAATCAAACAGTATCGTTTGTCCGCGATTTGTGCACATTTGTCCAAACAAAATGTTCGTTTGCCCACCCTTCAAAAAAAAGTTATAAACAAATAAAGAAATTTATCACCAGCAGCCCCATAAACATTTTTCCTTAATGCTCAAGTTGGATATGTTTGTCCGCGATTTGTTCATGTATATCCACCCAAAATTTTCGTTCGTCCACCCTTCAAAAAAAAGTTATAAACAAATTAAGAATATGATATAAATACTCCCACGAACATTTTTCCTTCATTTCTCACTGAGATATGATTATACATGATATGTCCATGTTTGTCCACCCCAAATATTCGTTTGTCCACCCAGCAGAATCGAATTATTATTAACAAAAAAAAACCCAAAAAATAAGATTCAATATTAACTGCGACAACCGAAAATTTGGGGTGGACAAATGTGGACAAATCGTGGACAAATGAATACTGTTTTTTTTTTCATAAAATTTTACATTTGGAGGTGCTAACTTCACAGACCTTTGTCTTGCCTGCAGCTCAACAAGCGGAAGCGCTAGGCGCGCACGGCCACCATTGTCGGCGTCGCGTGTTTTGCTGAACTATTTCGCTTCCCTATTTAAAACACTACAGATTTGGTAACTTTCCTTGACACTTTCCTGGGCAGCAAGGTCTGCTCTATCGGGCGCTATGGTCAGTGTTTCTCCTAGACCTGTAGTTTTTGAAATAAATTAAAGAATATCAGCAAAAAGTGATGCGTTTTCTCTGTCCTTTTCACTTTGAACATTATTTAAACATATTTAGGTGCCTATAACTATAACACAATAACAAATTTGTATAATTTTGTTCGGAAGAGTCTAGAGAACTATTTCGTGTCAAAAGAAACTGAATAACTGTTACTGTGAAACCACAACACAGCTCCAACGTTGAAAGTTTTCAATTTTTTTTTAAATTTATTTTTTCAAAAACTGGACGTGCTGGAAAGAAACGGTTTGCAAATTCGTATTCAGCTCATAAAGATCTAACAGAAACGCTTATTAGAGGTTACACAAACGAAAAAAAGTTTAAATATCTTGACAGTGTAATTATTAGCGATCTCGCGCTTCTAATCGTCAAGATTTAAGCACAACTAACAAGTACCCTTCAAATTTTTCGTTAAAGTTCAATGAATTGGTGAATTTTAATCGACTGCAAGTAATCCGATAACATTAAACGTGATTATTATATAAATTCTTATATTTTATGTAATAAACAAACTGAGCAGGTCACAGCCTGGGTGCTGGTGTAGGCATTCTCTTAGCGTTCTTATTACGGCCTACATACCCAAATCTGAAGGTTTACGCATTCGCTACTCCAGGTAAACATTATCGCAATAACAATCTTTAATTGAATTATCGTGGTAAATTTCTTATAGTTTTCAAGACATTATTCATTTGAAAAAAAATGCTTTCCAATCAGCGGGCCTCCTCTCCCGGAACGTTGCCAGAATAACGGAAGAGTTCGTCTTAACAATCGGGGTAGGTGATGACTTTGTGATGAGACTCGGCGTTGACAGTATAGAAAATTTAAGGACAGCTTTACTCATTGCGCTTCAAGCCTGTCGATTGCCCAAGGTAAGACCCAAGAGTCTGATTCGTCTATCAGCGTTATTCGTTTCAAATTTAATTAAATATTCAGACATAGGATATGTACAGTGAAGTCCGGTTATTGCGACACCGCTTATAACAGCCGACCGCATATTGCATCCGATTTGCTCTCTAACTTCGGTTCCCATATAGGTACATTACTTTATACAGGGTGTAACACAAATGTAGTCCGACCCGGAAATGGGGCACTCGGGGGGGTGAATTGGAACAAGTTTTTCCTTAGCAACAATGTTCTCTGAGGCTTTGTTAACGAGATATTAACGAAAAAACCCAACCAATCAGAGCGCGAGTCTGCCAGCCGAATTTTCGCGGTAACGCTGCCTACCAGTCGCAGCGCGTAGCTACCGCTAGCGCGGGAACTCGGCTGGCAAACTCGCGCTCTGATTGGTCGCGGTTTTTCGTTAATATCTCGGTAACGCAGTCTCAGATTACATTGTTGCTAAGGAAAAACTTGTTCCAATTCACCCCCCGAGTGCTCCATTTCCGAGTCGGGCAACATTTTTGTTACACCCTGTATATATATTCATTCTGCTTATAACAACATTCGTTCACACCGATGTAATTTCTTTGTCCCTTGAATGTCGCTATAAACGGACTCCACTGTAATAACTAGACTGCGGATTTTATGCATTTATAGCGAATATAATTATTTAAATCTTAATATACAAAACTATTTAATGTACTTTGATGAGATACTTGTTTTATTTGGAACCTAATAATATCCTTAATAAGGTAAGATTGATACAAGTTTTTGTAAAATAGATAATAAAAATCTATATTTGCATAAAGATCCGCAGTCTATATAGTAATAACTCTTCTAATATAGGGCATAGCAAGGGATGACACGGATTATAACAGAAATCTCTTTCTACGTTAATGATGATCGGTAATAGTGAAAAACAAATTCTTTCGTATATACGTATAGAAATACCTTCATAGAAAATCCAAAAGAAATAACTAATGGCTCTCCAGAACTTTGATTAAACAGATGGCCACATCCATTTTGTCTCTCCTTAACGAGTCATAATATTTTTTGGAATTATAAAGGATGATAATTTAAATGTATAAAGACAGTAATGGGGGAGGATCACAGTTTCACCATTGAACCCCAAAAAACTACTAAATCTTATGCTTTGTTGCAATTTTTTAGAAATTTTGTTAGAACCAAAAGAGCATTGAATCAAGGAAACTACATACTATATTTTTATTCGTGACCGTGTCGATAACCTATTTGTTCGAATAACGTATTATTCAATTTATTGTTTTCATAAAGGAAAAAAGGACATTTTGTTTAATGTTGAAACGATAAATTAGAAATTTGTCTCAGATACGATAAAATTCTTCAATATGTTGTGACAGTGAAATAAAAATTCGGTCTCGTTTCTGAGACGATCTTGTCTGCAGTTAAGAGTTGAACTTCGACTGCACTAAACATCATAATCAATACAAAATTCTGACGATTGATATGTAACAGAGAAATTTTATACTTTTCCAGTACAGAGTGGTTTTAAACGGTTTGGGCTATATGTTGTTCGGTATCCCTGAAAGGGATCTCAGCAAGACTTGGAGTACATGCAATGTAATAACCACATCATCAGGACAATCTCCATTGCTCAGCGAACGAGACGCCGTGAGATTAGAGGTGACTATGTAACGAGAGAATATTTAACGTCTCCTACTTTCGAGTAAAAAGAATAAGGTGCCATTATCTGCATGTACACTCCCTACCATAAGTATTAGGACAGTTATCGAATGTGAAACAAACTTGTAGCACCACTATAAAGTTATTGATGACATTGAATGTACAGGGTGAGTCCTTTAAATTGATCGATCGCAAAATACTTCAGAAAACAGTTGAATGATTTCAGAGAAGAAAAAAATTTGGTGCAAGTAGTTTTGTTTTGGTAGTCGTGAGGATGACATATAAAGGTCAAATCATTCCCTATAAAAAAAGTATTTTTTATCAAGAATACATTAATTTAGCAGATACTTTAATGTCAATATTGTAATGCTGTTTATTTTGAAAATGGTGTAGGTCGAAATTTGTAAAAAATGGTAATGTGGTTGCTGTGATTATAAATGAAAACGAATAAATTAGAAATAAACAAACAAAAAAAATGGACTTACACTATTTCCAGAAATTGTTGAATCTAACTAGTTAGTACACCTAGTAGCATGAAATCATAAATCGGGTGTAAAATATGTCATTTGTATGTTATATGTATAGAAAGTTTCACGTCGGCTAGTTCAACCGGACAGAAGGTGATTCTATAAGAAAAAATAAATCGAAAAAGGATTATAATTTCTTTCGTTTACAGTTTCGTTTTCGAGAAAATTAAGTATGAATATTCATCTAAATCCAGTATATGTATTTATGCTGGCAATAAGTAGAAACGGCCTGCAGACGCATTAGCCAAGATCGATTCTATTGCCCGTATGTCCAACAAGTTTTCAAATTCGATTATCTCAAAAACGAAGCATCACCCAAAAAAATGTTATTCCTTCCCTTCGACTTAAATTTTCTTATTGAATCACCTCCTGCCCGGTTGTATTACCCCACCCGAGAAACCCTTGTATGCGCAATAGTGAAACCAATACTTTTATTGTACCGCAGGAAAATAATAAATACGAGCGAGACATTACGAAAAGACGGTACTCGAAAGTGAAATTGTATACAGGAGGAAAGATACTTCACATAACAAGAATCAAACCTGATGGAAAACAGACTGAAGTAAAAAGGTTCGTCATCGTAATATTTTTCTAAATTTCGTTCATTTACTTTTCGCTTAATAATGACTAAACTGCCGATTTTAGTCATTTGTAGCCTATTGGGCTCTGTGAAATACAGGAAAAGACAAAACTTCCATCGGTTGTAATGGATTTTTTGCATGATGTTGAACCCAATAAGATGCTTAAGAGAAGTGATCAATTCCTACATTCTCTCTTGTCTTCATGAATTACCTTAGCAAATGTCATTTTCAACAAAAATCGGCAGTCTAATAATAACTGAATAGACCAGCTGCCTTGAAATTCTTGTGAACTTGTTGTCAATTATTTTGTAATTACCGAGCATTAAACAAATTGTATATATCGCCCATTCTTCCCCCAGCAAAAAAGAACGCGGAAAGGACACGAAATACGAAATGCGATGGGCACAACCGGAAGAATTTTCGGAATTGATTGTAATGCCACGGATGCTGTTGGATCATCTGCCGGAAAGCATAGAAGAAGCTCTGGAAACCTTAATGGAACAACAAAGCGATCTACCATATTATTTTGATCCTTAAACGAACCAAAAGAAACATTTTCTTTTATATCGACGATAATTACAAGAAAAAAGGAGACATGCTCATAAGCAACAAAATTACTAAATTTGTTGCACTGACTTATTCAATTTTTATACACTGGTGTAGAATTAATGTTGCATTATTTTCATAAGACAAAGAGTCAAATTGTACTTACAAAAGTGACAATATTTGTCATTTGTGTTAATTTTCAGAGCTCAACGAAATAAAGTTTAGATTTACGTATTTGTGCATTTAGTATTTACACAAATCGACTCGTTGTGCTACCTTGTTGCTGGTTCCTTTAAAACTTTTATCTTTGAAAATTGTGCACAAATTTTCAAGAAATTCACTTCTAGAGTCATAGCGTTGTTAAAAATACCACAAAGTGACGGTTTGCTTCGAACGTAAACTATACATAATTGGTTGTTTCTAAGGATCTGAGACTAAACAGGAAGATATTTATATTCTGAAAACTAAATATCGAGGTCTGTCGGTTAAAAATCCTTAAAGTTTCCTATTTCCTCTACAAAATACAGATCTTCGAACATGATTTTTTTTATCTATTATACCTCGTCTGTGGTGGTACGAAGAGATTATACAGAGTGTAACAAAAATGTTGTCCGACTCGGAAATGGGGTACTCGGGGGGTGAATTGGAACAAGTTTTTCCTTAGCAACAATGTAATCCGGGGCTTCGTTACCGAGATATTAATGAAAAACTCCGACCAATCAGAGCGGGAGTTTGCCAGCCGAGTTCCCGCGCCAGCGGTGGCCACGCGCTGCGACTGGTAGGCAGCGTTACCGCGAGAATTCGGCTGGCAGACTCGCGCTCTGATTGGTTGGGTTTTTTCGTTAATATCTCGTTAACAAAGCCTCAGAGAATATTGTTGCTAAGGAAAAACTTGTTCCAATTCACCCCCCGAGTGCCCCATTTCCGGGTGGGACAACATTTTTGTTACACCCTGTATAGTGAACAAGAGATTCTACCCGCTTACAGCTAGCCAGTAAAGAAGCTAACAACAAGAATCAATTGATCAAAATCAACAGAGTCGCAGCCAATTATGTAGCTCATATTATTTGTGATGTTATATAATTCGTGGACTTGAAGGTGATCACGATTGTCAATTATATACCAACTAATAATGATTGCCCAGGTCTCACGACGTAGAGGTTGTTGCGAACGTAGACCCACCCTGCTTTCCGCCTACACTGGCCCTCCATCTGTGCTTTTTGCAACATTTTCCCTAACGAATCTAGTTGTTGTTTTAATCGAAGCAGCCTCCATGATGATCTTCATATGAAGAAAACATTTCACATGAACTTCACAATTACATCAAAAAATCTTTGTATGAAGTTCACGTGAAGTGTGAACTCAACATGTGTTATCATTAGATGAAGAGATGTCTTCGTATGATGATTTCTGAGACAGAACCTGGAAGGATTGGAACGAGACATTATTATTGTTTGTGGATACTTCGTACTGAAGTTTGAATCCACGATGATCCCTGAAACAAAAACTCACATAAGAATCTTGATTTTTGAAACAGACAGTCAAAGGAACGCAATAATAATATACATGTACTGTGAATAGAAATTATAATGTCACATTTTTATGGATACTTTGATTTGATACATTTGAAATTTGATGAGACAGCGATTCTCGAAACAGAAGTTGCAGAGACATTCCAATAATGTACAAACCTTTGCACTATTTTGATATGAATGTTTTATGCACGTAGCGTATTACGATATAACAATCAATCCACTAACAACTTTAACAACAAATAGTCATACCTACTTTCAAAGACCATGATTAAACTTTAGTCGCAAGTTCACTTTAGTTTTCATTATTATCGCGTCACATGTAAGTAATTAATCAAATCTTCATTCGACATTAATAATTCAAGAAATCAGAAAAGAATAACTATTATTGTAACCAAATGGAACGTTCCTTTTTGTAATATAAATATTCTCTTCAGTACGCAAACACTTGGCAAGTAATCCAAAAATATAGAAAAATAGCAGCCACAATAAGGCACTGGATCTGCCCACTCTTTACATTTCATTCAATTAAAAGACAAACCCGTAAGTGGACAATTAATACTTCACGCAGTACTAAATGATTGAATATAATATGAGAAAACAGCAATCTGGTATCGTACTATATACTGTATATAAATAGTAAACTAATTTGAGTTATATTCATTTCGTTATTTGTTTACAAATGACGGTACAACTGTTGAAAATAATAATCAACACCCTGACTGGTGAAATAAAATTTTATTAACTTGCTGACAATCATAAAAATGGACTCTAGTACCAAAAGTGTCCAAATGCCACCCATGAGCTACAGGCAATTACAAGCCTCCCCTCGTCGGTTTCCCCGACTACCGACGGGAGGTCATGATTGGTAGATCGGTGAGCGAAGGTAGACCTCCCCCCCCCCAACCCATTCCAATTATTATTTTAACGGAACAGAATATTCAACACTATATTACACTTACGTGTGGCTTTTTTTTACATATGTATACTTGAGATTAGCACAACGGACAGTGACCCTCATAAAACGGAAAATCAGACGCAACAAGGACGATTTTCCAGATATGTAATTTCGCAGCAGTCTCGTGGTTGTAAACTGTTACGTACGAGGCGCGCGCGTGTATATGCGTAATTACGACTACTATGCTTTTAGTAAAATAATACAATACAAAAACGCAGGAATCCAATTAATGTGAATTTTTGGTAACGTGATGTGTCTGTTCAGTTACAGAGCGGAACACGCGTGCGACTCGCTAAAGTAAATTTTATTAGAATTTACCCGGAACAGCAACGAATAAATATCCCCAACTAACTGTGAACGATAAAATCTAAAACGCAATCAATTAAGGTTTTTATTTTTGTTTTCGGTTCGTCGATACTTTAGTCCCATACGGGCCCTTTCACCAGATCGCTTTGTTTGGAAATTAGGGAAGATAAATACTAGGTAATATAAAAGAAAGTAAATGGTATGAATTTAGAAACAGAATTATATATATATGTATATATAGAATTATAATAGGAACTTACATACATTAACTTTGGTAAAATGATATAATAATAATAGTATAAAATTTTAAATGTGTAAAACTCAATAGCTCAGGATATGAAACGATAGAATGAACATAAAAAAAAGGAAGTATACGAATATAATGAGAAGAAGGAATATTTAACAGAGGTTATCGCCAAGAGAATACTATAACGCACAATTGCTCGGTACATATACGGAACGGTTTGAATTTTAGACTTCAAAGACAACCAAATACGTGTATACAAATTGTAAAATACAAATAATTTCCAGTAAGGGAAACCCCACAGTTGCAACTCAACTACTGGAGTTTATTTGTCTAATAATTTATCGTTATTTGATCTGGAAGAGTAAGGGAAACGACTCACCTAGATTTTAACGGTGTTGAACACAATTTCCAAACAAAATTTCCTTTTGCGAAATTCCTAGAATTCTCTCCTCTTTTTTTGGAATCTTATCTCTGGGTGTTATCAAAAGCAAACCTAGTGAGGAAGAACACACACGCACTTTGATTAATTGAATTTAAGTACGGAATTTATATCGAATTGAGTAGAGCCACGAAATAAAACTGTTAAAACTAATAATAACTGTTAACACTAATTGTAAGTAATGAAACTAAAAAAACAAAGAGAATAAAATATTTAAACAATGAAATGAATTTTCGTAAGGGTATGAGTCCTTTTGTCGTATTTTCTAGCTCTTAGGCTAGCGCGAACAAAACTCTGTCTCAAATAACACTTCACGGACTCTTCGACACGCACCTCGCGATTGTACACCAAAAATGTCGCAGCGTTGTACCCTCGAAAGAGACCAGAGCGGGCCTACTCCGAATTTGTTTACACTGCATTACTGTGGTGCCCGACGAATCAGGCTGCTAGATTAATGCGTTGAGGACCGTGATTCGCTAATTGAACGCGTGATAGGAGTGTGTATGTCCTTCCTCCCTTAAATCTAACTTTCTTCCTGTGGTTTCTCCGAATTAATTTCCCTACTCTTTCAGTCACGGCTATGGGAATCTTTGCTACGTTTCGATATGTTAACTGTACGCCGAATTTTGATAAAGTTGTAGACGGGACGTTCTTAATTTACATGACGCCAATAGAGTGAATGGCATAACTTCCACAAATAATTAAATGGTATATGAACATGACTATTACCCAATGAGACAGATAGTAAATGTTAAAATCAGATATGCCTTTCCTCTTACATACGAAATACATATACATATAGTAGGTAATGGGCTGACCGATGTGTAGCAATGGAGTTCGATATATGATTTAGAATTTGAAATCAAACTACGAGTTCTATAACAATTTAAATTATGATTTTGAATTTAACTGCGCACGCGAAGAAGAAGGTTCGAGGTGCTCGATATTTATCGGACCGGACGCCAGAGGTTTACATTCGGTAGTTGGGTGAAGCCAATATCTACCTCACGTTACAATCAAGCGTTCTGAACGTGGGACTACATTGACTCCAAAGAAAAGAATGCGTTATATGTATATACAAGCTTATTTGCGTCGCCAATGAGAAAAACTATCCTATAAACATCAAAGACCGTACTGCGTTCGATTAGGGAGCTCCCACAATGCTATGCATTATCGTAACGCATTACAGCCGAAGTAAAGGAAAAACAAAAGAAGAAAAAAGAATTTCGTTCGGAACGTAACAATTCTAGAACCATATGTTTTGTACCTACACTGCGTGGTATAATGTAAGCAACGATTGAAAATTAAGGAGCCAAAAAAACTCGCGCAAACAATGATGGTATAACGTATAACCGAATATATATTTGCTACGTCGTCTCGGACAGTGCGTGTCAAACGACTGCAGATACAAGAATGACCCTCCTCGACCGGTAGGGGCGGTAGGTTCCTTCGTCGTCGTCCACGGAAAACTCCTCAAAGGTCCGTGGCTAATTTACGATATCCCAGGCGTCGTGCTGTCGACAGTGTCGGGCCCCGTTACTGCGCTCGCCTTAACGTAAACAGTGCAGCAGCTATCTGGGCATTCGATCGTGTTTATACGACGCTTGCATTGAAATTTCTAACAATAATTATAAAACCACCCAAAAATTTTCAATTCTTATGTATTATGGTTAAAATAAAAACGATGCGATGTCAGAAAACGTGTTGAAAAATAATGTTTCTCCAGAAAAGGGTAGATTATATTCCCCAGTAAAGAAGTGATTCGTTTTTATTTGAACTACAATAAATAGGGATTGAAAATTTTAAGGTAGTTTGACAGTTATGCCACGTAGTATATGATTGACCAATTTTCGAAAACTTGCATACCAATCAAAGATTAACAAATGAATTCAACCGCGTACATATCTCAGTCTATCAGCGAAAACTCGTTATTTCAATTCGTTTCAAATGGAAAACATTAATTTTGCTGTGGTCTCCTCGAAGTTCTGAAACCTGCGATGCTTTCCTGAATGCCATTTGTGATAAATACGTCCCATACATTTGACAATGGCGCCAAAGTTTATGAAATATCTGACAGATACTACTAATTAAATAATACATATAAGCTTTTCTTTATGGAGAAAATGAAGAAAACGCAAACCTGGCAATACTGGCGAAATTAGGCTAGCTGAGCTCGAGTGGGGTCGATGTTCATTATTCAATTACTCGCAATAAATATAATTATTGTAAATAAATAACGTGTTAGTAAGCTCATATCGTAGCAGGTCATACGCTCGTGTGCATCGGGCCTAACAAGGTGCGGCACTGTTTGCTCGAAGCAAGTTTCACAGGGTAACCAGTGCATGCGCAACCTTCCGTTCGTTTATCGATAAAACAATGTGAATGTCAGACGCAACGAACTAAAGTTTTCGCTACTCAGAAATTATAAAGTGATTCTGTACATGTTTCGCGTGTATACTTTTAAGGCTCGTGGTTAATTAACAGAAGACGGAAAATGTCGTACAGAAGAGGAACATCTCTTCGGCAGTCGTTTTCCCAGATATTATGGAGGATTTCGTCAAGCACAATTCGAGTGAGTCAGAATAATACAATACTATCAGAAATTTATTACCTTAAAGTCCACTTTCGACGATATTTTAGTTTCTTAAACGGAGTATCGTCTTCTTTGTACATAAAATGATACGGTGGCGGCATTAAAATTCATTTTAAGTGGCCATTCCATAATGCATATCTACGTACTGTCATAATTTGATACAAATCGCATTAATTTAATGAATTTTAGTCTTATAAGAATATAGATAACATAAAACAGTAGAGAAAAATTTACCGTTCCCCAACAAGTATTGTGAGAAAGAGATTATCTCGATTTTACGATAAAATATGCCGTTATCGCAATAACGTTAAAAGTATTAAAGACGCGATATTCACAAATCTTTCATTTTTTTTTTATTATTTACAGTCAAAAATAAATTCCATTTTCCTTTTTCAAAATTATACTGTTCTAAAGTAATATGCAAATACCACGAATTTGTTGCTAGCTCTAGTCCCCCCGCATCTCAACTATCACAATGACATAATCACATATATTTCAATTCGCCCTTCTTTTTGCACCGATCTAATAACAGATCTAACAATAGGATCAACGTAGATTGAACAAAATGTACTAATACGGCCCTATTATAACATAATAAATTACTTAATGTCGATAAATAGCCTAGAAGACTGAAAGGGAATTACCTTTTCCGATCCATTGTCAGACGCATCCTAGACTACATCGAATGGTTAACTGAGGAGCCAATCGTCGATGAAATCAGCGACGATGTGGTAGTTAATATTCGAATGGCCCAGCAAAAAAAGGTCGAAAAAAAAGGCCTGACCCGTGAGGTCAGTAAGCTCGATTATACACAATTAATAGTAAATTATAGTACATATTTATAACGGACGTAAAATGAAACTTATTTTCTGTTTAAGGATCGTTCCATGCTTTTAACGAGTCCAGGAAGCAGAACGTCGGTGGAAAGGACGTACATATACGAATTATTTAAAAAGTTCCATGCATTTCGAAAGTACCCAGAACATCTAAAAAGATCTGTAGCAGGGGTGTGTGTTTATCAATACTTGAAACCTGGCCGAGTGATTGTGCGACAGGGTCACCAAGCAGAGAATCTCTATTTTATTTTGAACGGAGAAGTCACCTTATCCAGAGTTGTTACTGACCGCTGGACAGGTTCGTAAGAATTTTTTAATATTGCACCATTTTCCTCCTACTCTGCTTTTCCTCACTCTGTCTAAAATTTGTCAAATTATCGTTATACGTAGCTTAACATTAGTTTCAACAGATTTTGTCTCGTGCAACAGGATAATCTTACTTCTATAGTCTTCGCCAAGATATAGCGTGGTCGTAAATTATCGCGTTGAGTGGCGACACCTATAGACGTCCATCTAATTGTAGTTTATTTACTACGCGGGTACTGTAAATTACGTTTTACCCTTTGCCTTATAACATCGAGTCAGACTCGTGTTGACGCTTCGAAAATCGATTCAACAAAGAAGAAGACTATTATTCGGTTTTCTTTGATTCGAAGTAAAGAACCACGTTGCTGGTATGAATATTTAACTTTTATAGTAAAAGTACAGTTGCGTTAAGTTCAGAAGTCCTTTCGTTTCTGTGAAACTATCGATAACAATGTAATCCAGGAGACTGTAGACGTTAAGAAAATCATAGGGCAAGGGGTTAATATTCGGAATATTTGTGTTACGGCGTACTCACGATAAGCTGGTGATTAGTCACTGCTCTTTGGTAAATTAATACCGCGGAGCTCGTTGGGAAGTGTGGTAATATGTGTTTCAATTAGGGCTACTACTTTTACCCGGATACCCATGAGATACCCGGGTAAACTGTCCAGGAATCCCTGTTTATGACGGTTTGGTGACCGTGTCGACGGCCCAAGACGCGACGAACGTTACAACCATCGCCTACCTGCGTTGGGTCGCAACAATTTTAATGAACTTTAACTTTTGATAGACTGTGATTAATAATAAAAAATCAGAAATATTTTGAATCTGAATTGATATTGTGCGGCACTGAACGTCGCTCGAGCACCTTATCGTCCCTTTGATCTTTTAAATAGACGTTCCATCGCTCGAAACGTGTGATGTTCTTTTCCGCTTGACCGATTTTAGGTTTAGGACTGTGCTATATGTTGGCGAGGATTATTGAATTTTTCTTCTGAATATTTCAGTATACCATTAAACGGTTAGTTATGACAAATTTTAAAGAATTTCATTCACAATTAGATGAATCAAAAGAAGTGGATACGGGTACCTTGACCGCTGGCGACATGTTCGGTGAAATCGCGTTACTGCACACGATACCAAGAAATGCAACAGTGGTCACGAAGAGTACGTATTACTCGAATAATTTTTAATGCAACTACTGTTTTATGCTTTCAATACAATTTCATCCTTTTGTTAAATATAACAGTACTTTAACAATACTTCTCGTTGTTTTATAACACCTTATCGTCATTTTCGGTAAATGGAAGATGTGTTAAAGTATACATACTATCAATTTATAAAAATATATAATGAATTCCAGTGAGGAACAAAATGATAAAAGAAAATTTCTTGTGTATAATATTTTCTTATTATACCTACAATAAAATAATACAGTGCATTGTACATAGAGACAAAAGATTATACGAAATTTCACTCGAAAAAATGATACAACATTAAATACAAATCCTTACAAAAAAGGAAAAATCTCCACTACAATCGAAAACATTACCCGATTATTGGGCCCACACAGTTGCAGTTTGAAAACCAGTCTATAAACATAGTGTTAAAAACTAGAATATTTCCGTCTTTAAAAGGAGTAATCAAATATTTTGAAACGTAGTCAGTAGCACTGTTACACTCTTTGCTGTTCATGTAACCGAATATGCTTGTGAAATTATATAACATTTAAAAACGTTAAACCGATCTATTTATAGCCATTGTGGATTTACTGCTTATCCCACGTGAATACTTCGACAAAATTCTGCGACGCCATTTGTCAAAAGAGTGGGACGTTCTCCAAGATGCATTGGTCCACTTCAATTACTTCAGAACCTGGGACAAAGTTACCGTGCGAGAATGCTGCATTTTGAGCAGAATGAAAGATTTTCGCCCAGGCGAGGTATGAAAATTGTAAAACTTGTATTATGGTCATCGCTATTTACCTTCAAAGTGGACTATAATTTTGAGACGGCCATGGTGTTCGAGTAAAACCGCTCGAACCATTCCATGTGCAGTAAACATCCAAGATATTACCTATTGTCGAGACGATACTCTGTTATCAATTTTAGAATTTCAAAACGAATTTGAAAGTAAGTTTAATAATTGATATAATATTATAAGTAGATCTTTATGCAAACACACTTTTTTATGGACAAATATTGAAACACAGGGTTACAAACACTACTACTCATAAGTATTAGGACACCTGGTCTGTGTGAAAAAAATGTGATGTATCGTAAAAGTATATATTTAAGGCTACTCTTGTTACTTTATAGTAGCATAAGCGTTGTCCATCGAGCCTTCATGTCCCATAAACAATATTTATTTCAGACTTTCAGTAATTTCATAACACCTCGTTACATTTGCTCCCGTCTTTATAAATTACTTTAGAAAATATCATTTTGCATAAAAATCCGCAGTCTACTTATGAGCAAGAGTTATACATAAGTTGTTCCATAATTTTTGTCGCACGGCTCTGGTAGAAAGGACCATAGACATATACAGGGTGTCCCAAAAATGTCCTCCGACCCGGAAATGGGGCACTCGGAAGGTAAATTGGAACAACTTTTTCCTTAGCAACAATGTAATCTGAGGCTTCGTTGCCGAGATATTAACGAAAAACTCCGACCAATCAGAGCGCGAGTTTGCCAGCCGAGTTCCGCGCTAGCGGTAGCTACGCGCTGCGACTGGTAGGCAGCGTTACCGCGGGAAATCGGCTGGCAAACTCGCGCTGTGATTGGTCGGGGTTTTTCGTTAATATCTCAGTAACGAAACCTCAGATTACATTGTTATTAAGGAAAAACTTGTTCCAATTCACCCCCGAGTGCCCTATTTCCGGGTCGGACAACATTTTTGTTACACCCTGTATACCTCAAAAGAATTGGGCTATTCACTGGTATAAAGGAATTTTTTCTATCCTTTCTACATACCAAGGCCATACGACAAAAATTATGGAACATCCTACGTACATACATAGATACTTCTATGGTTGACTTCACTAAATTATAAATAAATTAAAAGTTTCGTTGGGATTTTCTACTTTATTTTCCGTTAAGAAATCATGAGAATCATAAATTGTATAAGATTCGAAATGTAATAGGTGACCGATTTTTTATTTCTCTGACTCTCTAGGTAGATCGAATACAAACGTAACTGTTTAAGATCTTACTAGGTGACGGCAAAGGAATGGTTAACTACGTCCATTTCTTGTTGGAAGGTGAATGTCGACTGATAGAACATATGATCGTACGCGAGCAATGTATGCCTGATGGACGCGTTCACTACGAATTATACGACCCCACGTCCACGGAGGAAACTTACACACCACCGACAGCAAATATAACTGATGAAATGCGGAGACAGATGGAGGTCGAACGCGGAGCTAGCCGAGTATGATTTTAATGAATATAATAATATCACAGCAGACATTACCACCACTCTCCATTTTTATAGAATAAAACATCTATATTTTTATAACGACGAACATCTCGTCATTCGTTGGTTCATAAGAAAATCAATGTTTATTTCATTATACCAGAATACTCTTAATTATTTAGTAAGTAGTTTAGAACAAAGTACTCCCCCCTGATTCAATAGTTCAGAAAAATCCATCAAATAAAACGAATTTCTGTTGCATAACAATTGAATATTAGGTTGTTAAATATTGAATTTAAGATTAAGGAAAATTATCGTAAGTGTTTTTCAGGACTAATTCGATTACATTGAAATAATTTCTTCTCTTTCTTAGTACCGTAGTAAAAAAGAAATGTTTTTTTAAGGAAAACCACATAGTCGAGTCGGACGAAGACCAGGAGGCCACGGCGGCCATGGAATTACTACGCCTTTCAGCACGATCAAAGTTACTTGCCGAAAAAATGGATCTCGATCGTTCTAGCATCATTACAACTACCCTTGTAGATGTCGTAAGTATTGATAATATCGTGTTAGTCAAGAAACTTCGGATAAAAGGCGATTTAAACTTACTTGAAAGGTGAACGAATGGCACAAAGTTACGGACGTAGCGGAAATGCTGATGAGGGAACCGTCTTCCATTTCCCAACAATGTTATCCAAAAGATGTGCGTACGATTTTCATGCAAATTTGTACGTTTCAAAGGGGCGCCTGTTTCGGATTGGGTAATATTTTGGAAAACCTTACTTTCCGCCACCATTTGTTTGCATGTAGCTGTGGCGAAGAACGACATACAAATGTAATATTTGCCGATTTTAATGAAATTCATGTAAAAGATAGTCCTGTGGAAAATATTTGTTTTCATGTCTGTCGACATTCAAGTTTAGATGTGTGAAAAGAGCGTTCAAAGATGGTAGAAAACAATATCTTGTATTACTCTCCACAATGTTTAGGACAACAATTCTTAATAAATAGAAATTTAACAAACCACCATTAGGAGCACATAATCATTAATTATATTAAATACATATCGACTAGAGAGTATCCAAATCCAAGAGTTAAAATTTATGCAAATACAAAGTCCTGAAAGTATTGAAAAATACATACTTCACCTCGTAGAAAATATGAATATACTACAAATACAAAAATTTCTGTGACAGTAGAAAAAGAGGAAATTCTATTTTTCTGTGTATTTTGTATTACAATTTGCAGTTTACACATAGAGATTTCATAGAGACAGGATTAATATTTTTAAACAAAGTTTACAAAAGATAGCAATATATTAAAACACATGGATTTTTCTGCATCTATTATTCAAAGACACACAATTTCAATCTTAAACTTTTTGTCTAATTCTTATAGTTCCCGAGACAATGGACGATGTAAGTTCTCAACCGCCACAATTAGGGATTGTTTTCACAATTTCACTATGAACGTTAATCGATTTAAAAATGCATGTCAAATATTTATCGATGTTCTACCTTTATGCAGAATTTCATAAAAATCGGCGATTATTATTTCTAGACTATCCCTTCTGGCAAAAGTTTAAAATATGCTATTTAACAAAATGCAGGTTCGTGCATGCTTAATCGGAGAATAGTAGCCACGTCAAATGTACGATGTTTTTTGATTCCTCGATACTTCTTGCACGAACACAATCGAGCCAACATCTGGGAACACGTGAAGCTGTTCATGAATTCAAAGTATCCAACCAGAGAAGAATTGTTCAAGAAATTCGTCAGAAATCGAAGGTAAAATCATTACTTACGAAAACGCTATTAGTTTCGATCACTAACAATTGTCTAATTCTTAGGTGGAGAAAATACAAAAAAAATTTGGTCGATGCGATTCGTAAGGAAGGTCGACAAATTCGTAGCAACGTGACAATACACGATGTTCCCTACTCGATTAGAATCAACGATGACGTTGGAGTTTGAAAAATATTAATTACAGAACCACTCGATGTTTAAACAACGCTAAAAGCGAAATTCTTTTAGATAAAAACTTTATTTTACAAATTTGTCGTTAAAAAAAGCATAGTTTAAAAGACTACGAATCGTATTGTTCGAGTGTCGATATACAAATATTGCGTACAAATAAAAATATTCCGTCGACATCGAAACGTCACACGTTTTTGGTCGTGATTCATTAAGAACTTTCACAAAAATTCACGTTCATCAAGCTGATAACACTAAAACCCTGTGGCAAAATCAGCATTACGTTGAGTATTAAGTACTGATTAGCGAGTCCGCTTAAATTTATGTAGCTTATACACCTGAAATTTGTAGTTTAACACGTCGAATATTGTTCCTCGACTTCTTTCGTTAATACTTAAAGCGATTTAATGAATATTCACAATTTTAATTAACATTCACCGTGGTCTCGTCTTTAACAGATAATAAGTACACATCTCTAAAAGCATTCGTATTAGACTTCGTTATTAAACACGTTCTGCACACATTGTCTGTGTTCTTGTTTTGTACATTTGGTCAGTAATATACATATTACTAATAAGTATAGTACAGTATTGTAATATGAAACGCCTAGTTAATTGTAAAAACCCGATTGCATCTTCCTAAATGTATAGTATATAGAAAGAGTTGAAAAAATTAAACTTCAGAAAAATATAGAATCTTACGATATAATTTCTTTTCACTCTTTTCGAATGAATAAAGTACTCTGCTTACTAATAAATGCACAGCAATAAGGCAATCTGTTAGATACACAGGATGTTATGTAAACGATTGTGATTCCGCTCGAAAAATCGAGTCGAAGATATAAAGTTAAATATTCTTTGTAGATCATTTTCTTCTCGAGAATATTAACTTCGTGAAACCGTTTAAGCATCCGTAGTCTCGACCACAGTTTTGATCTCAGTCGTCACAACTTTATTTTGTTCGCGATTTAATCGACGCTATGAAAAACCACCACTGTACAAGGAATGAAGTGCGTTTTCCTTACCCTACGGTTCTACAACAGTACTCGTAACAGTACTCGAATACACGCATACCCACCCAATCTTCAAACACATTTTTCTCAAGAACGAAGCCTTGGATTAGAAATTGTAAAGCATTATTTGCAATGAATTCTCTTCGCATAGAATCATCCACCAAATTCTCCGTTAATAATAAAACATATGAACACATTTGTTGAGTAATCGCTTCATTAAAAATTTAGCTCAGATTTCTCTCCACGTCACCTACTTTTCCTTTGTTTTTCGCTCTTTAAACCGACTGAGTTCTGTTATCAAAACGTTTCGTCATGGCACACTGGAATCAAATACATTATCTCTCCTTAAATCTCATAAATTTACAATTATGCGTCCACGAAAACACACACGCGCGCGGGCGCCTACGGATCAAATGAAACTTCGTTAGCACTTCAGACCCTGGTCTGATCTGCCTCTCGATTGCTCATCATCACGTAACTGGGATTGCTGAATCCGTCTGGCATATCTTTCTTCAAGTCGATCTTCTGCTTGGGCATGTTCACGTAATTGTCCGGGGTTCTTATGATCGACGGCCTGAAATCCTTCTTATCCACGGAATCCACATTGTCCTCGCTCTCCTCCGTGCATTTCTTATTCTTCTCGTTTAGATCTATCAGCTGAAGATTCTTCGGTGTGTTACAATAACCGGAATCACGATCGATCGGTCGGTCCGCAGTTTGGTTCTTCATCGCCTGACGATTCCTCGCGAACTCTGCCCTTCGTTCGTGAACATTGATCGGTTTCAAATAGGGATCGTCATCCTCTACCTTCTTCAGCATAGGCGACATCTCCACGGCGTCCTCCGAGTCGGAGGTCGGGGATGGAAAGTCAAAATGCGTTCGTTCCTGAACAGATCTGGGACTGAATATACCGGACTCGTCACGTTTGCTTATGGGGCTCATGCACAGGTAGGACGAATCCCCTGGATTCTCAGGTACAGGTGAGTTTACGTAGTCGTGGTTCGGTGAAGACAGCATCGTGTGGTCAGGGGCGGACAACATTGTCAGGTAGTCGTTTTTGCCGCCTTCCAGCATCGTCGTGTTCATGTCCATGTAGGGATCGTTTAGACTTACGTAATGCTGGAGTTGAAAAGAAACATTGGTTACAATTGGACGGAATAAAAGCTGCGTTAAGTCACTCACTGCATCATTTTAGTATCTTGTGCAAAAAAGTTTTTGCATAAAATCAAGAACCAACAGTCTATTTTAAAACTATTTGAAATATTGAAAAGTTTTTTTTTATCATGATAAATAACGAACTAGTAGTCAGAGTAACAACGTGTTTTTAATGATTGGATGTCATTAAATAAGTTTCGTACTGTTGATCGTCAAGAAATGTTCCAAATATTGTTGCTAAAGTGAAAAAAAGGCGTCCACTGTAGTGGAAAAATGCAGTTGGTGGGTTCAACTTTTCAAAACATTGATTGCTAGACTAATGTAATATGTTTTTAACACTAGGACTACCAAACCCATCAAAATGATAGATTACTGATTTACTATTTTACCATTACTGAAATTATAATAGTGCATTTGACGGAATTTACGTTGGCTTTTAATTTACTACAAATTTTATTTTACGATATGTTATGCTAGATAGTCTTGTACATGGTGTGGCCGAATAACATGTACAAGCGGGTATGAGGTGATTCCTCATGGAAAATTAAGAACAAAATATGCAATAAAATTTTTTCATTTAAGGCTTAGTTTTCGAGAAAATCGACTTCGAAAATTAATCTGAAACACGTGTATTCACCAAAGTAATAAGTGGAAACGGAATGTAATGAACAGACGCGCTAGCCCCATCCTATTCAATTGCTCCTGTATCTAGCAGATATTCAAAGTCGATTTTTTCGAAACCTAAGCCTTAAATAAGAAAATTATATTCCATATTTTGTTCTTATTTTTTTATAAGGAATCACCTCGTACTCGCTTGTACATGTTATTCGGCCGCACCCTGTATATTCTGTATATTATTGTATCACACAATTTAATTTAGTATAAATTCAATGGTGTTAGTTCTAGTGTTATTAACAGTGTTTTAGAAATGGAGAGTTGGTTGAACATTAAAAATTTGGGAATTGTAATATTTGTAAATTTTGTCTTCTACAATATTCTACATAATGAGTAAACTATGGAATGCAAATGAAATAAAAACTGTGTTAACCCTGGTGTGGGCAACCAAAATATTCACGGTTATTGAGCAATCTTTATACCCCCATTCTGACAGATTAAATAAACATACATAATGTTACTTCCATAATTTTCCGAAACTCATAGTTTTTCCTTCCTATAATATACCAAGTGCTGTTTTACACAAGGACATACAAAATTGTGAAAGGAAATTTAGAAATGGGTACCTGGGTACCCAGATACCTATACAAGAGTTAAACGTGGTATGTAATAAGTTTTTAATAATAGTGGTCTTGAAATGGAAGGTCAGTTGAATATTAAAAATTTGTAGGTTGTGATATTTGTAAAATTGTATTCTGGATAATGAGTAAACTATAAACTTTACTCATTTACAGTAGAAGCAAGTATTCAAGATTTCATGTATGTAATAACAAAATTGTTACTATACATATAACGTTTTTATTACACACATAATCTAATGAACCCGTTGTATTGTATATGTGTTGTAATTACTATTATAAACTAATTCGTATTTTATACAAACTGAATGTTATAAATTTACTACAAACTGAAGAAACAAGTAATGGTTACTCAATGATTGAAAGACAACGAGAATGTTCAAGCTTTGCTATAATACAATAAAATTGAAAAGTTTAGTAAATCTTACTGTACACTCAGTAAACAATATAAATATCCAGCAGTTATTAAAAATAATTCATTACGTTCTCTAAGCAGAAAATGAATGAAATAAACAAACTTACCGCTTTTACGCTTTCCTCCAACAAATCACCTATACTATCGACTAATTCCGTGAAACTTGGGCGTACTGTGGGTTTGGCCTTCCAGCATTGAAGCATTATATCATATCTATAAATTGGAAATTACAGACCATGAGACTGTGACTATAAATTACATTTTATAATATACGGTGAACTTAACTGATTGTGCAACCGGATAGAGAAGATGGTAAAGTACAATTTTTATTGACAAATGCCGGAAATACAACTCCCGATTTAGGCAGGCAGTATTTCAATAAACTCAGTATTTCACATAACAGAAATGACGTCTCTACAAACTTCTGCATCATAAAGCTTGGTTGCAAAGTTTCACTTTAAAAAACAGGTTCATCGAACTTATTTTCAAACGTTGGGTCACAGCTAATTACAATTAGACTGGGAATATTAATGAAAATATAGTTTTTATGTATATACATATTACGAAAATCTCAAATCGGGTAGATATTTGTTTATGGTATGAAAATTTGTACCAGATTTTAAATAATATAAGAAAGGCATTAAACTTTGATAAACATCTTACTAATATTAAGATTCAAACAATGGTATCTGCTATAAATGCATGAAACCTGAAGGTCCTGTACAAACTGAACGTACACTTCGAAGGTAGCATACTCCGGCTGTTCCATCCTGTAACCTTCAATCAGCTTTTGATACTGTTTTTCCGCTTCCATTCCCGGATACGGAGTCTCAGCCAACGTGAAGAACTCCCACAGAACTATACCGAACGACCAAATGTCCGACTGCGTGGAGAAGATTCGATCTCTGATCGATTCGATGGCCATCCACTTGATGGGCAACGGACCGTCGCCTTTCTTCTTATAATTGTCGTCTTTGTACATAGTTTTCGCTAAACCGAAATCACAAATCTTCACTACGTTATTCTCGGCCAGTAGAATGTTTCTTGCGGCCAAGTCACCGTGTAGCACCTGAAAATGAATTGTTAAGTAGCGATCAGTTTGTCGGAAAATCTGTGTAAAGCCAAGTCCATAACACTGTTCAACAAATTTTAACTCTTTATCGTTTTTGCAATTGTCAATAAGCGTGCCTGATAGCTCTTTATAAGCTAAATACGAATCTGCAAACCGTTTCTTTCCAATACGTCCAGTTTATGAAAAAATCAAATTTGAAAAAAATTGCAAATTTTCAACTTTGGAGCTGTCTTGTGCTTTTACAGTAATAGTTATTCACTTTCTTTTTAGACGAATTAATTCTCTGGAGTCTTGCGAACAAAATGATATAAATTGTTATTAGATTATAGGCATCTAAATATGTTTAAATAATGTTCAAAGTGAAAACCACACCGAAAATGCACCACTTTTTGCTGATATTCTTTAATTTATTTCAAAACCTAAAAGTCTAGAAGAAAATCTAACCATAGCACGCAATAGAAAAGTGTCCAGGAAAGCTACAAAATCTGTTTTGTTTGAAATAGGGAAGCGAAATAGTTGAGCAAAACACGCGGCGCCGAGGGTGGTGGCCATGCGCGCCTAGCGCTTCCGTTACGTTGGGCCACAGGCAAGGCGACCGCCGTCATTGAGTACCACTGTCGCCGCTGTGTGTTTTGCTGAACCATTTCGCTTCCCTATTCAAAACAAAATAGATTTTGTAACTTTCCTTGACACTTTCCTGGGCAGAAAGGTCTGCTCTATCGCGTTCTATAGTTAGATTTTCTCCTAGACCTTTTGTTTTTGAAATAAATTAAAGAATATCAGCGAAAAGTGGTGCGTTTTCGGTGTCCTTCTCACTTCGAACATTATTTATACATATTTAGATGTCTATAATCTAATAACAATTTATATCATTTTATTCACAAGAGTCCAGAGAATTAATTCGTGTAAAAAGAAACTGAATAATAATTATGGTAAAAGCACAACACAGGTCCAAATTTGAAAATTTGCAATGTTCTTCAAATTTTATTTTTTCAAAAACTGGACGTGCTGGAAAGAAACGGTTTGCAGATTCGTATTTAGCTCATAAAGATCTATCAGGCACGCTTATTGACAATTGTAAAAATTTTAACGCGTTGAACAGTGTTATTAGGTAGTTACGTATTTAAAATGTGGACAAACTACAAAACGCAGTGAAAATATAAATTATGAGTGGAAGTAAATATGTGTTTAAATCATTCCTTTTTTAATTATTCTAAAGAAATTGAATTTCTAGTATTGAATAAGAGTGCTAAATAAATAAATAAAATATGATGTATTGACGACACCTACCTTTCTCTGACTAAGATACTCCATTCCACGAGCGACCTGAAAGGCCCAGGATAACAAATCCTGCGTGCAAATCGGTTTTAAATTATGATCCTTGTAGTCGCCACGGTAATTAGATCTCCATCCCGGCTGGGATGAGCCGTTACTGAGTACACAGCCGTACGGCGTCATGATAACACCCTGGGAATCCATGGCTGTACCTTGATAGTGCACCGAATCGGTGCCTGAATTTCCACTGATACTGCGAGAAAATGACAATGCCGCATATTTTATCCTATCATGCAGACAAAAGAAAACACAAATGTGTTAACACCGCAACCCTTTGCATGCGACACTATTTTTATAGTGTTATTCACAGGAAACTCGGGTAGTTGCATCCCAATGTATTAAAAGCCAGTATCTGATTTTTGTACACCATCCATTCCTAAACGGTTAACAAATTAGACGCCTTGTTTATGTCAAATTCGAGCTATTGTGTTAAATTTATTTATTAATTCACGAAAGTATAAATTTACCAAATGAACTGGAGGTTTGTCGGAAGAAATATAGGAGAACTAGTGAAAAATGGAAGCTTTAATAGGCTTTTGATTATCAGCTAAACAATTATATTATGTTTAAATTTTTACGATCGTATTAATTCTGTAGGTTCGGCAATTATAAACAGTTTCGGTGCAGTTTCAGCACAGTCTCGGGAAGGTATTGACCTTCTGAACAAAGGCACAATGGAATCTCGTCAACGTAAGGAGGACTATTAAACAAGATTTGTCCTAAGTCCCACAATATACATTAAAACAATAATTTTTTGAAAGATATTCATGATATTTCTCATAAATTATTCGCAATAGTCTCATTCTAAAACAATGCACTACATGAAACAATAATAGAAACTCTGATAGTATCCTCTATATACATTCAAGATGTCGAAAAAACGACACACGAAATCTATTTAGCTTTGCGAACCAGTATGTACAACTGTTTGGCCTGAAAAAATGTCGTACAGATTGGTTACTGTTATATTCTACTTATTTATCTACTTGCGACTATTATCTTTTCCATAAATTAAGAATAAGGATGAAAGAAAGACAGTGCAACATAATTTTGAACATTCAAAAGGCTCCAATTATGGTTCTTTCCACCATCTTGAAAACAAGTATCACAGCTGCCTCTTGAGTTCGTAGAATTATTCTGAATAGTATGTCTCTTCAGAAGTTAACTCTTCTGAATAGTTGACATTAAAAAGCATCAAAAGCTTACGCAAATTTAATTTTTTTTTAACTAACTTTTTTATCTGCTCATGCACGCTGAAAACCTCAAATCCGCTTCACATAGTTATACAACAGTTTTTTTCTGAGATTGAAGAAAAATGTCAGTGCATAATGTTGCCAAACCTTTGTAACATTCCGTCATACAATAATGTTATTACCGTGAAACGTGCAATTCACATTTTAATTTTCATAGCAGAGATAATTTCTCATTTGTTGAAAATGAACAATGGTTGTGTTACTACCAATATATCATAAAACACACGAAAATAAGGCATTAAGACAAACCTGTTGTTGCTGCCTACGCTGGCCGTCCGCGTGAGGATATCTATGCCGATACTAGGATCGAATTTGCCGGTCGACGGATCAATTTGATTAATAAAGTCACCCCTGTGTCGGAGTAAATAGTTGTGCAAATTTCCAAATCTGCAATACTCGACGATCACTAACAATTCACCTAAAAAAAAGTAGAAACTATTAAATGAAATTGAAGAGATCTTATAAAACTTGAAACTCATACAAAATTTGTGTCTTTCATGTATTTAAAGCTCTTTCACAAACTGGCGTTGTATCAATAAGTAATCGATTTCTTTTCCCATGAGATACTAATACTACATACATTCAGAATATCTTCAGAACAATGGACAACCATCGATTTGAATAATTTGGCTTCTTAAAAATGAATAAATCTAATAACAAATAGTCAATTACTCACACCTCTGATATACATATGTACAATAATCGGAGTACGTACGTTTCGAAATATTTTTCGTACAAGCCCCAAGCAAATTGACAACGTTCAGGTGTTTCCCAAGGTGCACCATGATCTTCAATTCGCTGGCAAGTGCACGAACATACGTGGGATCGGTTGTACGACGCACCATTTTCACAGCCACGGTGGTCATCGTCTCCTCTTCGGAAATTCCTTGAGCCTCCGCTTTCATAACGACTCCAAACGCACCACTTCCCAATTTTTTTCCTGTTATATAATATTAAATTTCCATACTCCGTTAGGTGTTATCAAAATACCACTAACCATTGATTACGTTTATTAACGTAGTACATATAAAACTTTTAAAAGTCAAGGCAGTCATGTGCAGAAAGACAGATTATACCCTCTGATTGGTCGGGGTTTTTCGTTAATATCTCGGTAACGAAGCCTCAGATTACATTGTTGCTAAGGAAAAAGTTGTTCCAATTCACCCCCCGAGTGCCCCATTTCCGGGTCGGAGGACATTTTTGGGACACCCTGTAGATCAGAAACTGCACTTATCTGAGCGAAGGCGGAATTCTAATTGCAAAATCGATTTAACTTGTTTTGACGAAAAACGGACACCTATTGATGGAGTACTAAAGCAAATTAAAACTGCAATATTAGGGTGTAATAGGAAACATTTTACGCTATTACCAGTAATTCCATTTCCAGTTGTTTGCTTCTGATATATCACAGAAATGAAATTATATACAAAGCGACAACAGAAAACCACGACTGTCAAAGAAATATATCTCAACGATTGAAATTAATGGAAATCTTTCCTAAATCCTCAAAGAAATACACTTATCCCCCGATTTACACGGTACTTTTTTTACACGATTTCGCTTTCACACGGTTTTCACATTAACGGATCTTCAAAAATAATACCTAAAAAAGGGAATTCCCCCTTTTTTCTACACAACAAGCATTCATATTTGTTAACGTCAATTCTTTTATGACAGGATATGCACGAGGCATCGGCTTCTTCAGGGGAGATTGAATCGCCAATAACTTTATATGTATGTATATGTACATATTTGTTATTTCATGAATGGACTGATATTTTTTATTTTTCATTTGTGTTTAATTTTTATTTTGAGTTGAAATAAATGAATTTAATTAAATAACTGGCGAAATTATGTGCAGTTTGTTTTCTTTGTTTAGATTTACACGGTTTTTCATACAAAAAGCCATGATTTTGATTTACACGGTATTTTGAGGAACCGATCTTCCATGTAAATCAGGGGATAGGTCTAATGGCTACTTCGATATCTCGAATAGCGTACAATATTTATGAGTGTATCAAGAAAGTAACTAAAAATTGATCGAGCTATACTTTTATCTACTTTTTACTCTTTCTCCTATCTTAACAAAGGAACCAAGATATTTCAGTGAATTACATTGTTTTTAATTGAAAAAAATTTCACCTAATTTCAGTCTTTCCCTGGGAAATTCCCACTTCTTGTCATAAGGAAGCAACTCCGCCTGATCATCCACTGTCAAGTCCGGATTCAAGCACTCTATCGCTCCCTCCTCGAAGTGCATTAGTCCAGCTTCCATTAATTCCTTCCTCATGATCTGAAACATTGAAAGAAATGGTTAAAATCCGATACGATTGAGCGTTTCTACGTAATACCGAAAATTGAAGTTACCTTTTCACGACGGACTTTAATCGTGAAATAGATCACCAAAATCACGACGATGATAACCAAGATGATAATTAAAATGATCAATTCTTTGGGCAATTCTTTTCCTGTAAATGTAAAAAGCGCAGAGCTAGAACCTATTACTCGAATATATTTGTAATATGTACTTCTTTTAACAAATTACCTTTTATCGTTATTTGCTGATACGCTTCGAGTTTTCCCATTCGATTTTCCACTCGACACAAGTATTTGCCACTGTCACTTTCCAGCAGATACTTGATATGTAACTCTTGATAATTGTAAAGAAACATGTACTGCTCGTTGGTCATCAACATTGTGTCATCCTATGAAAACCATTGAAAAGTGTATAATTTAGGAAAGTAAAACTCAATTAACAGGTTCATTAATTTGTAGACTGTAAAGGTTTACACAAATTCCCAGTTTCATACGTTAATTTATAGAAATTAAAACCAGAGAAAAATATTCTGTACCAATTATAGAATTTAATAGACTAAAAATAAATATAGAAAATTTATCGACTCTTTGATAAATAGATATTTCGTTATGTCATATACAGATACGTATGCCATAAACGCATAAAATCTGTGATCCATTAATCAAGAGACACGGTATTACGCGAGACAACGTTTTGAAGAATTTCAAATCTCAATAACGCTTGATCCGATTATCCGATTAAGTTTTTAATTTACGATACTTACCTTGTACCAAGTGATATTCGGTTTGGGCATACCGTCCGCGAAGCACTTAAGGATCACTGTCTTGTGACCCTGCGTGTTGGAATCGATAGTCACTTCATTCTGCTTGAGATTGGTATCCTCAAAGGTAGGTGCACGTGCGTCTAGCGCACAGAAAAAATCACTGAATAATTACTCGTTTAAATTTGTCAGAAAATTTAAATACAATAAAAAAATAGTTACCCTGTACTCGCAAATCATAGTCCATGCTCTCGGTAATATTCTCTGTAGTCCTTCCAGTGCAGATGTAGTATTTCGAGTCCTGCTTTTCTACATTATTTATCCTCAAAATCGATCTATATGTAAATTGTGTCTGCCCTCGAACGATCGATAGTCTGTCTAATCATATGAAATAATAATAAATTTTAATTACTTCCTTCGAATAGATACAGACTGTCCGTAATTGTTCTTTCCAATTTAGTGTTTTTCTACACAGCAGAATTCCAGGATACGTATATCAGATACATACTAAACGAAGTGATGCCTCAAAACGTTCCAATAGTATGCAGAAGTTCAATCAAGTCTAATGTAAGCGTCTGGATTGTATCGAATTATATATCATATAATTACACAATCTTTCGTCAAACATTACGAAGTATTTCATTATTGTCTTTCACAAACTCGCATATAAAGAATTTTATGGCGATATATTAAACGATATGTTTATGAGATCATTCTACAATCATTCCTCCATACCTAATTAAACGCTGAAGGATATGTTGATAAAACCTCATAACATTCCTAACAGTCCTAAATCCACACTATCTATAAATTTTGAGAATTCTTCTATCGTACAATTACTTTTTATACACGTCAGCCACTTGAAGTAGTTGCACATTGTAAGATATCAAAGCGTTGCTTTGGATGAAATTAATCTCTACTGAACTCCGCTTATTTTCAAATCAAGCAATAAAATAGTCAATATCAGAAATTAGATTACTAGTTTCCAAAATGGGAGTGTTATCTTCGTTGCTCCATTCGAAGATGTTTGAATAGTTATAAACGGAGGCGGCGCAGATCAGCTCCAAATCGTCGCCCTCGGTCACTGATTCCTTCGGCTCGATTATACCGAATCCGCCATTTCCATCTAGAAAATTTCAGAATACAATATAGTATCAAACGCAACTTAGCATACCACAAAGAGAAACAATAAAATGTCTACGAAAAAATTTGCCTTCCAACGATAAGAGTTAACTTGGTTCTGTTCTTACCAGAAACGAAGACATTTTCCGTGACGGAGTCACAACCGACGACGTTGCACGCTTTGCAGGTGAGTCTTCCGGACATTTCGACCATCATCCTTACAATCGAGAGGAAAAATGTCGTCATTCCGTGTTCCTTTGTTTCCTACATGAAGTATTTATTCGTTTAAAGAACTTATATAGCAATGATAGAATAAGCTTCCGATAGATTAAATTATTGTATACCGTTAAGTTCACTATAGTTCCGTTTTCACAGGAGGGATAGTTCGGGCATTTGAGGAAATTCCAGGTAATTTCTGGTTCTGGATACGCTGCCACGTGACAGCGCATCTCTGCCTCTTGATTAGGGGCGTAGTAAGACTCTATTCTCTCCAATATTGGTATTGGCTTGGCTAGACATCGTAGTATTTATTACAATGTAAATCATTATTATGTTAATGCATAGGAAGATTAGAACTGTACTGAAGTTCTATAAATATTTTCATGAATGAAAATGATCAATGAAAATCACGAATTGCGTGTTAACTCTATTATACAGGAAATATCAAAAGTTTTTTTAATTACATATTTTTTAAGATAATTTAATGGTTCTCAATCGAATTGAATAATTATTTGTAGAAATCTGTGCATATTTAAATATGTAAAATATATAAATTGCATTTTAAATTGAAGTATCCGCTCCAGAATTTTGATATATCTAATAATATCTTAAGGAGAGTACTTTTTATTTATATCATTAAAATACAAATTATATAAATTACAAACAATATTCCCATCTCTGTTTTAAAATATCAGTTCCTGTAATTTCTCAATCATTGATTTATTTTACACCCGGAATCACTGTCAGACTTGTAACATAATAGTTGCCAAATTTATTTGTAATTTATTATTATTATCATTTAATTATAATATAGTAATTTTTTAATGTCTCAACCCAACAAATGCGAGCGTACAGTAGAATTCACTTATAATTTCATAAATGGAAATCATTATCAGAAGTCATTAATTTCGTGTTTAAAGTAAAGATTATACTATATCGTTTACAAGTAACGGAAATTGCGTACCTATCACGTCCAACGTGAAGTTCAGGACTTCGATTCTGTCGTCATTGGTGGCCTGGATCGAATATACCCCCATGTCATTGACATCGAGATGATTGATTCTGAGTATCGTCATCGTCGACAGGGGTGTCGTATTAATCGCGAATTTTGATTTCTCCGGTGATGCCCAATTTCCGGTCATTACCTCGCCCTTTGGATTCAGCCTGAGAAATTATTATATAATTTACATAATTAATAACGAAGTGCAACCATTACAATTGAATCAATCCTATGTAACCGTGGTCAATAGCTACATGCATCAAACAAACACGAATAATAGAGGACCAATCAATATTAAAAATCGTCCAAGTACATTAAATTAAGTTCCATTAATTCTCTAAAATGTTACAATAGGTATTATTAAAAGTTAACGTAAAGATCAACGTGAGAAAAATATCAGTTAATACAAGACCAATTCAGATATTGTATTTTTCACGGTATCGAAGATGATTAACTATTCTTTTTTTCAAGAATAACTATAAATGGGTATCTCAAGGTCAGCTATACATATAAACCTGTTGGAACCGTTTCGATTTACCATTTAAGGGTAGGCTCAGGATAAGCGTTCACGTAGACGACCCACTGCACTTTATCGCCGAATCGGCGTTGATAATGTCTATCAGAGTCCTGAGCTGTTAAGTTAAGGAATTTGTTCCCCGGATCTAAAACATCGAAGAAAATAAATGATAAAGGTCATAGAATAACATACAATACACTCTATGAATAAATCAATTTTTTAAATGTTAATGAGTACAGCTATAACTTTGCAAATATTTATAACAAATTACAACGAGTTTCCATTTAATCATCGTCACAATGAACACAATTGAAAAACTAAATCTTTGATATTATTAACCCCTTAAAGACGACGCAAGTTTCTGCTTTCATCCCATTTCAACGACAATATGTAACGTCACATACGTTATTATAATCTATTAATAAATCAAAAGTTTGAGATATTTTTGACAGTTGTATTCAATTTTAGAGTGCATTCAAGTGGTCGTACATGGGTCCATACAATGCGTGAATTGACTTCGGCCGCTGGGAACGACATCAAAATCCGTTTGGTGCACAGCAGAGATGAGCAAATTTATTATCCAGACAAAGAGTTTCGAATACCGAATAAAAGATAAAAGAAAGTACTTCGTCATTTTGAATCGATTAAACGTAGAAATTACAACTTTTATAAAAAAAAAACAATATTTCGATTTCAGTGAGTAAACACTTGGCAAACAATTATTTAATCTCATTAAGTGTTTAAAGACCAGGACGACAATTTTAAATACTATTGCTTTCACTATTATTCGAATAAAATTGTACTCAACTCTGCTCCATGATCCGTATTCTGAGGATTAATAAGTAAAAATCATAAGTCGCTGTAATTGTACTGACCATAGACTTTAATATACTTCTCGGATTTTTTCGAGTCCTGGAAATTCGTGATGATACACGCGTAAAGACCCTCGTCATCGTCGGTCATGTTTCTTATCGTCAATTCATTCGTGGCTCTCCGAATATACGACCCGTATGTAGTGCTGTATAGTCGAGTGCTTATCCTGTTGCTCTAAAATGTCGAATGGATGCGTCAAATTCAAATCAGAAGCAGCACGAAAATTAAATTTGGTATACATATACATATACAGTAATCCATACTTGTTGCGGTGTACTCCAGTTCAGAACGTAGTGCATGTCCACGTTAACGTCTATGGTACAGTTGACGTACAGAGTTTGGCCCCTTGTCACATGTCGCAACGTGTCCTCGAGGATTTTTGGCTCGGTTAGCGTATGTTTACCTGATATCATTCGATCACATTATAGAATAATATAATTGCTGACAAACAATGGTATTATTAGACGTGTCAATAAATAATCGAACTTGAAAATTTGTTGGATACACTGTTAATAAAATAGAAGTTGGCTAATGTGTCTGCTCATTGCAGGATATTTTTACTTATTGCCGGCACGAATACACGCGTTTCATATAAAAGTTCAAACCCAATTTTCTGGAGAAAGAGGCGTTAAACGAAAAAATATTATTCTTTATTTCGACATATTTTTACATGTAGGATCACCATCTACCGGGATATCACCCGTCTGGCCACACCCTGTACATTAAAACTCGTACAAACATTACGTTCGACTGAAAATAACTGTATATACAGGTATTATCAGACATGCGATACATCTATTTGGAAAACGGAAGATGAAAATAAAATGTTGAAAGAAAAAGTTGAAACACATTTTATACAGATGTTAAAAGAATATATTACAACAATATAGATATTTCGTTACTCACTGTAGCTTCCCGCTTTTTGTACGTGATAAAAGTGACGTATAATATCGAAAATGAATACTGCATATTAGTAATAGAATGCGTTTCGATATTTTTGAAATCGATTTTATTCATTTTTTTGGTAGAAAATATTAAATTTCTCATTGGCACGCCTAATAATAATTAGATCATTTGTTAAAAAGTATATATTAGTGTCTTCGGTTGTCTTTAAATCTTGATAAATTGATACGGATCAAACTCTGTGGAATTACAAATATAATAACCAAAAAAATGATACTTCATACAATTATTATAGTTTCATGTATTTCATATATTTGAAAATTGTATCAAGTATCATTTTCTTGTTTATTATATTTGTAATTCCACAGAGTTTGATCCGTATATATATGCATCAGAAAGTATTAAAGTGTAAACTAAAGTATAGGTGCTTTAAATACCATTCTTATAGAATAATCTTATTCTATATTTAGGTACTTCCTATTTCTCTCGACATAAATAAATTGTTTAAAATTTGAAAAATTAATAAAAGAAGTAGTATGCAAATGTTAAAACGAGAGTTACGTGAAGCCAGAGAGTCAAATCAACATCGTCTGACAGTCGTACTTACGAAACACGAGTAAATGATAATTGACCTCGTGATCTATACCATCCCGTTCTATCACGCATTTGTAGTACGCACTGTCCTTGAGCGTGAGGTTCTTCAGTGTAAATCCAATTCTCGGATCGAAGGAGAATCTTTCGTCCAGTTCAAAGTACTACACAAAGGTTTCAATGTTTGTAACAATAAAAACTATAACTTAATCTAAGGAAAATTTTAGAGTAATATCATCATTTACGGAAACTTAGCATGTACATTTTAAGAAAATGTATCTGTGAGTAATATTTATGGCATACTCATAGAACGATACTTTTGGTCAATCCTATCAATGGATTAGGTTGGTACACATAAAATATATCCTTTTTACAGGTTTTTCTGATATCTCGGGTATGCACAGTTGCAAAACTATTTTTCTAATTCTTCTAATTTGCCTCAATTGTCGACTACATATTTTATTGGTACATTGCAATATACACTGCAAAAAAATACATTTCATGCGCACCAATTCATATTTGCATATGTACATGCATATATTAATACCTTGCATACTGCGATTTCACCATAAATCGGTTTATACGTTCGAAATGAACGTGAGAACACAGGATATTCCACGTACACGTTTCAATATTTCATTAAGTTCCTCCACCGTTCCTGAAAATATTGAAACGTACACCTGGAACACTCTGTACACAATTCTAAGCATGGCTACGCTAATTCCCTTCACGATACTTAATTTCACAAAATCATGAAGGGTTTTCTTAAACGCTGGAACGGTACTGTAGCTTACTGTTTCTTACAAGATCGATCTATCGTTTACGAAAATAATCTGTTTATATTAAATAATCGATTGCATGCAATAATGTTTCGATGAGCGTGATCCTCTATTGCATAAGACTTCCAATAAACCGAGATTGTACATGTCATTACAGTATCGTTTATTAAATAAAATTACCACTTCATCGTTTGAGAGATTCACAGTCAGGTTTGGAGACGTTGGCCTACAAGGTATAATGACAGTACTTCCAGAAATTTTGCGTAGTGATTCATAGGTATCAGCTTCCACGAATAGGTTAGTGTCAGCTGAAACACAACAGTTCAAGTACCTAATTACTCTGCACTGATATGAAGAGATCTCTGTAGGTTTAATTCGATTAGTCGTAGTTATGCTTACTTCTTGAATTTTGGAGACCACAAAGATGAAATAAATTAATAAAATTATAATTTCATTGTTTATAGAACGGCATCTTTAATTAGTAATTAGAAATTAACACTTTCTGAATTATATTACCTAATATGTAATATAATGACTAGACTACAGATTTTATGCATTTATAGTACGTGTGAATGGACAGAAAACAATAAAATGATTATTATCTTAGTGTATTATGGTGTCCGAAAAGTTAGTGCCGTTTTGCAACGTAGAATTGCGATTCACAATTTTTACTCTCCATCTTACTTCATTAGCAAATGTAGTTCCTATTTCTTATTACAATTTCTTATATTTAGGTAGTTTTGTTGTAAAGTTGCGCAAAACTTCGTCGTCAGATTAACAAATCTTTTTAATACGTTTTCGACCGACTTTTTTGTTTTCTGAGGCTTTTCCTGGTATGCATTTTTTCACAGCCGGAATAAATGATCTTTTAAAAGAATAATAAATAGAGTGAATACCGTAAAATTTCTCAACCAAATCAGTATAGTTCTTTTCACGTTTGTAATATTTGTTTATAATAACGGAAAAATACCTTTTTACTTGTATCTCTCACGGTAAGCAAAAATTTAACTCGCGTAAGGCGTATATACGAAACATGTTTCAAGAACAATCTATGTATTTTTAATATACATATATATATATATATCAAAGGGCTTCTTCTTTCTTCGGAAAAAATGGTAATAAAGACATTGGTGCCTGAAACGACACGAAATTTTCGAACGACACAATAGATTCCACAAGATTACTATTTTAACATTAGCCATTCGAAACCCTTAACAGAAAAGAAGTACATTTCGTTTACTCCCCCATTTTGTAAGATAATCTAAAAGCAATCAAATTAATACCATTTGAATTTTTATTTCAATGTACTAAAGAACCAGCCATGCGATTCATCGATCTACAATTCTCCGAATTATGAATAAATAGACTGCGGAAGTTTATTTAAAGTCACAATTCCAAGTGTTATAAAATTAAAATTGCAAGTATTTTTAATCTCTGTACTAGTGGCTTTACTACGATAATAATAAGACATGGATAATATTTACCTTTTTTGAAAGACTGTATTTTAATACGTTCTGCATGTTAGAAAATGCTATAAATGTTAGGAAATGATATAATTCAAGTAGTCCCGAACAATCGATTAATAATGTTTCATTTAATCACAATTCAATTATAAATCAGATATCCACTTACACTGAACGTAGACGTAAACCCAGTTAATTTCTGGATCAAAATAAGAATCCGTGGTGACTTCAACTAGGTGATCTGAGCAACCGTACCAGCCGGTGTCCCCAAAAACGGTTTTCGGTCGCCGAAACTCGTACGTATAGATACCATTTTCATCTTGATACTCTTTTATATCCGGTGCTGATGTATTGATCTATTATTAAAGCAAGTATTAGAATTTTCCTTGCATTTTTTGAGGGGTTGCAACTGCTATTTCATCATTCGGTTACTTACTGCTTCCCCGGAATTTGTAGGATAAAAGAAGAAAATTTTTGAGGGACCGGAGCAGAGTATCACCAAAGGATCACCCTCGTTCTTAATAATCTCGTCAGCTTCCGTTGATATAGTTGGTTTCAGAGCTGTTGAATCTTGAAATAAGAGAAAAAAATGTTGGCTCATATCTAATAATTAGGAATTGGGCATAATTATTTTTAATTATTTCGACATAATTAATATTATGTTTCGGAATTAATTGACATATTTGTGCTACTTGTGGCTAGGGATAGACATTATAGGAACACATTTTTATTTGAATTATTACTCAAATACAAATCTTTATCTCATTTGTTATTTACTCTGCTCTGTTGTCTTAATTAATATTATTTCCGTAACAATGAACTTTATAGGTCGATTATTCTCTTATCTGTTATTTTATTCGTTTAAGTACTTTCTGTTTAATTTTTCCAGGAAAACAGTCATTTTTCTAACGCAGCACTTTTACTCCAAAGCGACAAACTTCTAACAGTGTTAATGTTCTAATGCTTTTCGCATTTCCTGGGTTCTTCTAGATCCATAGTGAACAATTTTTATTTCTTATTCTGTATTAATATTTGAAGTAATGGCACACTCAGCAGAATACGTATTTAATAACCTTCTTGGAGTTGCCTGCAATAGAAGGTCGGCCAGTAAATGGATTATCCCAAAAATCTAATTTTATTGCATATCATTTTTCATTCTAAAATCACGAGTGGTGTAAAACATTTTTCGACACGTATGTTACAAGCTTTCAAGTAACCAACCAAAGAGAGGTGAAAAAAATAATTCTCGCTTAATCTACAACCACTGTATTGTCTTCTGTAGATATATATACATATAGATATATTACAAAGTACTCGATTATTGTTTTGTTCGGCCATATTCGAATGGATGCACTGCGTCTCCAAGATTTCGACGCCCGATGACGATGATTTATTTTTACATTATTACGCGCCTTTTTCTGCGGTAAAACCAATGAATTTTGTCATGATCAGAGAAACATGATTAATTATGCGTTTTACGAGAAAAAAAAATAGAGAACTTCTTAGCCGCAATGTCCTGCGGATGGTCTGATTTCGACCGATCCCTCCCGCTGCTGTTCACCGTGGATACGCACACGCGCTGCCAGTCTCGTTTCTGCGCAAATACGAGGGTCTCTAGGAAGGAAGTCCTTTCTTTCCTCTACTGATAGCGGGAGTCGTTTTATCAGCCTGCAGGCTCGTTTCACGAGAGAAACAAATAAATGAATTAAGGCTAGCCGGTGACGAGATGTTTTTTCGCTGGAACCACCGTTTGTTTTTCGATAAATTCTTACAAGACTACGTGTATTTGTATAATTTCCGATTTTTCGATTTCTTTTCTTTTTTTTAACAAAAACAGGAATAAAATAATAATTTATGTTTACACTAATTTTCTCCTAGTTAAAAGTAATGTAAGCAATTTTGTCATTCTTCTGAAGGCTTTTTATTTTTGTTATATCTAGAAAATCTAACGCATTCGTACGTGACATAAACGTATAAAACTCGTATTGTAATTATTAGATACAAGAAGAAATAATTCGATACTTCTTATTAATGAGATAACAATATTTTGAATTCGATAATCTTCTCGTTGATTTGTTTAGTAAAAATGACGCTTAACGATAGAAAGGCGTTAATTTCCTTTTAAATGAATATTAATTTGGCAAACCATACTGAGTACTCTTTAATGCATCCAATATTAAGTTGTTGCGTACAAAACGATAGGTGTTGCTGAATACTACATTTGATTCCATTTTTATGAATGAAAATACTTAAATTAGAACATGAACTTGAGGCAATAAACGATAAATCAGTATTTAATAATCCATTGATAACCACTCATACAATCATCGACAAAAACACTTACGTAAACTGATCTTTTTGGACACCGTTGTATCGAAATCTTCACTATTCTCAATTGCTTCAAATATACTTTTCAACTTTACTGAAAAAAGGCTGGATTTATTTCTATAGCTGGACCGCTATGCGAATATTTTAATATTCTACTTTACTGGATTAGAAAATGTGCTTTAGTAAATTTTTCGCCAGGTTAGCTATGCTGTTGTAATGCGGAACTATGTAATTGTTTACAAAAACATTGTACACTTGACACAAGTGTTGAACAAATGTTTGTACATAATAACATTTACATAGAACCGTAGGACTGGCCGCATATTAGGAAGCTGCGATAAGAACCGACCAGCCTACAACTACAACCGGCGAAGGGTGGAGAAAAACGAATGGTCCCCCGTAGATTAGCTTCCATGCAGATAGTTCCTCCGTATCGGACGGACCCGCAGATTACTATCGGTTAACTACACAGTAAATTCATAGAATTCGGGTCACACCAGTTTATTTCTTCGTAAAGGAATGTAGGAATCACTCAAATATAGTCCAACTCGATAGATCGAGCGTAATAACGTATTTGTCAATTCTTGATAATACGATACACAACGGGACGTTCCTGTTGAGGATTATACAATAATTGATACACCGCTGTGAAGCGATCAATTTCACGTAAGTGATAAAAACGAATAATGGGTCATGATGATTCACAAAATGCATCATCTATTTCTGATTGACCCGTGCGTCCGTAATTGTTTCGCCGTATAAAAATTTTGCCTATTTCGGGAGGTTGTTCTGTAATTTAATTAACAATTTACTTGTTGTATCAGGAAAGAAGAAAGACTGGGTATTTCTTGAATCTATTACAACTTACTCTCTCATTGAATATTTTATTTAATTACTTGACAGTTGAACTTCAAAGAGATTTCTCCAATCTATTCAGTCTTCGAAAGTGACCAAAAAGTTCGAGAAATGTGTGGATTCTGCAATGGATTCAAGAAAGTTTTGCAACCACTCATTTTCCATAAATGACTTTGCAAATTAACAATAGACCTGATTATTTTCAGTTACAGTAACCCTTCGAATTAAACGTTTTTAGACGACAATTCAGAGAGAAATAACGTTTCAAACATGGAGAAAGTGCAGTTAGTCCTTTTCTTGTAGATGGTTCGCTCCTCTCTCAACCAGAAGAAAATATCGTGAAATCAGCATACGTGTATGCAGGTAAACCGCATTCCAGAATGATTCACATGAAATTCAACTGTGAGACTCTACTGTCGATCTTCTGTATCGTTGCCAATACAAATAATTGGCAGACAGGATTAAATAAACGTCTGATAAAATACACCGTCGTATCAGAACGGTTTCAAATAAAAAATTCACTACAAGAACTTCCAAAAATCACAATAAAACCAAAACTGTACTTAGACTTGGTTTAACTTTACATCACAATAATATTCAGCAGTACAGTATGCAAGTAATTATTATAACTGAAAAATTCCAGGTCGAAGTCAAAACTGTATCTCTATTTCTACGTGAAATAATTGCAATTTTCTTTCATAAACACAGAGTAGAAGTTCAAAAATATTTCATTTAATTTAATTTTATATCCGAATATATATAAACAAAGAATTAACAATAATAACTGCGAATAACGAATGACTGTGAATTCGGTCTTCTAGTAAAAGCACGAAATCACTATAGAATGTCTGACATAATGCATCGTTACATCATATCACGATCAAATAAAGAATTAACTATACCAGCTTCGAACAGTGGGATTGAAATCAAAACAGTGGCCTGTACCAATAAAAACTTCATTAAAAAAAAAAGACTTCACTCAGCTAAAGCTATTACATCCTAATATTATCATCTAACCCATTAATTCCAGTAACTCTAAAAGACCAAGCCTTTACCAGGTACAACTTACAAGAACGCGAAGATTCTACGATTAACCAATCAAATTTCCTATTCAACTATTTTTTCTTACACAACCAAACAATAATCTTTGATCCAGAAATAAAAACTCGAGTATTGAAAGTATATTCGCGGTAACCGGCGTCACCGGAACCAAAATGCCAGACTATCTGAAACGAAACACGAGAATAAGGGAGGTGGGGGCACCAGGTGACTCACGGAAGAATTTCCAATGGGACGTTAGTTTATTCGAGGCAGGTAACCGCGATCACCTCGTACGAGCTAGAGTCAGAAAAACCTTGTTCCCCCGTCCCCTCGGACCGTGTGACTCAATGGTGGCCACGTGACCGTGACGCTTCGCCGGAATGGTACCGTGGGCCACAGGTGGATCGGTGACAGGTAAAACTATAATTACCGTTGCACAGATGAAGGAGCAGACCGACGACGAACAGGAGACCGCGAAAGGTGCACATTTTTCCACGATTCTTGTTCCTTTATTTCACACGGTTGTCACTGTCCAACCATACACAAATACATCACATGTTTGACAAGACGCGCAGAACCATCGACGTTTTGTTCACGTGGACAGATCTCGTACCGAGAGAAGCGCGTCGCTCCTCGTCAACGCTCGCGACCGTTCTACCGAGGCTCTCCCGCCCGAAGCAACGGGTTACGGCCGCGATTCCACGAGCAGGCCCCACCCCGCCGATTCCCAGACTACGACTTATCGACCACGACGTCATCTTAACCATCGTTCTCCTTGATTCTGTTCACCGCTCGGATCGGGACCGTGAAACTTTCGTCGCTCAATTATACCCGTATGTGAGCTCTTACGGTGTGACACGTACTTGCACGGTTCTGACCGCTAACGAACGGGGTAGACTGCATTTATGTATCATACAGTGGGTATAAAAAGTATTCGCACACCATTTTAAACAGAACAACTTTTTCAAAATTGGACCAACTGACTTGAGTTATTTTTGAAGTTAGAAAGATTAGTTTACTAAATGATGTTTAAGAAAAATGTTGAACAAAGTTGTGGTTGGTCGACATGGCGATGAACATAGAAAAAGGTTGCTTTTTACAACTTTTTCATCTGAGATTGTAATGAAAATGTAATAAATACATTTCGAAAATTTATATGCTGAAAATTTCATCGAAAACGGTTATCGTTGCTATGAAATACAAACGGTTAAATATGCTGAAAATCACAGGTTTTCGCGACTTTCGACTTGCAACTGTAGTAAATCTAAATATTTCAATAAAAATTTCGGCATGTATATAACTAACATAAATCTTCGAAATGTATTTATTAAATTTTCATTAGTCTCAGATAAAAAAAAATTGTAAAAAACGACCTTTACTATTTTCTTCGCGATTCCGACCAATTCCAACTTTTCCAAAATGTTGTTACACGTCATTTAGTAAACAAATCCGTCTAATTTCACAAAAGAAACTCAAGGTACCTGGTCCAATTTTAAAGAAATCGTTCTGTTTGAAAAGGTGTGCAATTACTTTTTTACCCAATGTGTGTGTGTATATGAATTCCAGAAACTTGAACAAAAATTCGACCGAGACGTGACTTCTCTATGTTAGGTGTTTTTATAAGAATAATATGTAGTAAAGAGATGTAGGGTGGATGCACCAGTAAATGAACACGTACCTACCAGTGAATGAACAGTATACGATATGAAAACGAGTAGTTATTAATGTAAGTAAATGATTACATATTGTTTTTTCTTCGATTCCTTGTTTCATATTCAAACAATTCTCGCGCCATTGCACAGTGCGACGAGTATATGGGCGTTCAAAACAAAAATTATACTTTCGGAAGTAATCAATTTTCGACCTAAGTACTCTAATACATTTTTAAAGAGAATACAAAAATGCATCGATAAAAGCATAAAAAATACACAGTTCTATTCAAAAAAATACGAGGTACTATTGTAATTTCTTGTCAGCTGAATATTGACTAACTTTTGTTCGAAACATTTTTTTATCAAACTAACTATTACTACTATAATGCATCGTTATGCGAGTCGGAACACAATTTTGCAGGATATGTCACAGAATTTACTTAAATTCATTGATATTCAAAAGTTTCTTGATTTTCGTCCGTATCTTTAATACTTTTCGTAAAAACCACTTTTAAAGTTGTTTATCATTATGAACCCTCCAGGATGACGTATCTCCTTAAGAAACATGCTTTGTGTGTTTCTTAAGACTCATAAATTTTATTTTCACAGGTTTACGGAAGAACAAAATCACAGAATATTAAAATATATTGTCTATCTGATATGAAATAATACGAACCACAGGATATTTTTAGTGGTTCTTTTTAAATTTGATTCTAGAGGAAAGGAAAGTGAATAAGATTTATTGTTTGACTACGGCTCAGATATTATCTCACATCCTAAGTGTTATAAAAACTTGTAAAGACTCGCTAGAATTAGACATATTTTGGCCACGATTGTTTATATTAAACGTTTATATTTTAACAAAACGTTTTTTATTCATGCAGCTATAAAAACAAACTACGTTCTATATTAGTATACTATTTGGTTACCTCGATATTTACTTGCAGAAAACACTTGTTACTAATCCCCCATGGAATTTTTTACGTCTTATGTTGATAAATGTGATCATGTAGACATTAAAACATACTGCAAACACATTATCGGATCGATATTAAACAATGACTTTTTTTACTTTTGTCCATTGGCGGCCGTACTGTGCATTGTTTGGAAATGTTCATTTATTGATGAAATCTGCATTTTTCTTTTTAATTTAATTAGTTACATTTGTTGAAATTTTTAAATTAAAATCTATACTTTATGAAAAAGTATAGATGTAAAAAAATGTAATTTTCATGTGCCAAATATTTATTAATATTATTGTCACTTAAAATTCGATTTTAATAATTAGAAGTTCTTTTAAGTGTTCATTCATTTGGTTGCGTACTCCAAATAGAACATATGTAAAAGCTTTTCTGTCGCAATTGAAAATTAACTGAAATAACAATAGAAGAATAAATGTATCTTTATATTGTTAAACACACGAAGTGCCATAGCACGTTTAACGACCCACTCACCTTACAGCGGAAGTCATAACATACAACGTCTGGTGGTGCTACTGTAATTTTTTTGTAAAACCGTCCCAAACAAGTTATTGTATGTAGATCCACTCCATGTGTTGTTATCATAATATTAACTCTTTGCACTTTGAGGTCACCTCTGACAAAATTTATAGGGAAATAGGAATTCAAAATGCAGAGCGTTAACCTATCTGTTATGATATTGTATAATTACCCCATTATATTTGAGAGTATTTTGGACGCTTTTACCAAGTTTTATGAAAATCGAGACGTGGACCTGTAGGGAACTACAGCCTAATTCAGTAAAAGTTTTATTTTGTCTTTCTCTTCTCGTTATTCGAGACGTTCACTAACAGATGAAGTTTTCACGTGTCTTCTACGGAGAGGAAAACTACCCCTGCCAGAAGAATATTGAAACGTACTGACGCTATAATTGCAGGAGTTATTTACGCGTCTGTTATAAATAGGAAATATTGTTACGTGTACGTTACCGCACAAAAGTATTCGGTTGCTTACTTTTTGCATTTGTCGACATTGTCATAATTCCTCCGATAGTATGGTAATAGTTCATGTAATTAAAAATGTATCAATTCGAATTTACACAATGGTGTCAAAGTAATTTATTTCATTTCGTTTGCGAGTGAATGGGAAGCTGTGCCGTAACATGCCTGCAACGTCATTGCTTTCTCTGCTGCCATCCATCCCCACCTACTTGTAAAATTGAAGATGCTTACGAAATTAATACTTGGAGAGGTGAAAACAATTCATATACCTATGTTTCGTATAGCTTTTTTCGAACTTTGTGGGGCGGTTTCACCCTTTAAACTGGATATTGGATAGTTGTAATAAAATACGTGCACTGTATTTTTTTCTGATCAACGACATATTTCATGGAAAAAAATAATACCCTCGGTGAAATTTAATTAGTACCTCCCCCATCAGGATGATTCAAATGATCAGTAAAAACTGAATGAAAAACGGTCAAAACTTTCCAATCAATCTACATAGTATATGTCAACGAACGCTCAAAAGTATTCGGATAGCTTACATACTTATTTTTAAGAAAATTTGATATTAAAGACGAATGGACAATTAGAAGATACAACAATGATTTTGCCATTTGATATTACATATTATACGATAGTTACGTGTAGGAGAATTTCATAATACGATAAAATTGATGTTTGTACATAAATTGTCTATATAATTATAGTCTGCAAATGTCTAACGTAATGAAAAGATTGCACTGCCCAACAATATTTTCATCCACCGATTGTTTAATTATGTATCCGATAAATAATAAATGTAGGTGTTATCATTTATTCCATAACAAAATGAAATAAATTACTTTTGTTGATTAATTGACATTTTTAGTGACATTACGTAGTTGCTATCATAAAAATCACTAGAAACTATAATATTATGTAGTACTTTTACTATATGTATTACTATAGTATAAAATGTATGAGTGATAATAATTGACACTGAGCCATTTGGTGTATTTTAATTGATTTGATCGAACGGACGAGAACATTCAGCTCACCTTTGTCATCCATAATTATGCAGGAAAATTTTAAGTAAAACGGAAAACTGAATGTCTGTGGCGTTGCGTAATTTCTTTATATCAGAGTTAGGACGCTGACGAATTTTCTGGGTGTAATGCATTTTGTTATTAAATTGGTATGGAAATATTCCAAGCTACTACACAAAAAAATAAAAAAGAAAGCAATTAAAGAAAGCGTACACATTGTTTTAAAAAAATGAGTACAATAAATACATAAAAAAATGAGTACGATAAATACATAAAAAAATTAATAAACATAACATTTACTTAAACAAAAAGAAACAAAAATATAATTCAACAGAAAGGAAGCTGCGAAATTTCTATGTTATTCGCTTTCTACATAAGTTGAACTTAACCATTGTTTTTTACTATTTTTATATTAATACTTGGTATAACCTCTATTTATTTAATGAAAATACAAAAACAGATACGACAGAGCCATAAAAATGGTGGTATTTTGAAAATATCTATGGAAATGAAGATAACTTTGTAAAAATTCTGGCTAGTGTATTTTCAAAATACCACCAATTTTATTGCTCCATCGTAATCTGTTTTTGTATTTTCATTCAAAAAAATGGAGGTTAGACTAAGTATTAATAGAGAAATAGTGAAAAACAATTGTTAATTTCAACTTTACTTATGTAAAAAGCGAATGACTTTATAGAAATTTCGCAGTTTCTTTTCTGTTGAATTATATTTTTGCTTTTTTTTTAATAAATGTTATATTTACTTTTTGAAACCGATGTGTACGCTTTCTTTAATTAATCCCAAAATGCTATCAAACAAAAATTTTTCATTAGTATTAAATAATAATAAGAATTCATAAAAAAACATGGTTACTTTATAGCAATTTCGATCAATGTATCTGTAACTACCGTACTGATTTCAACTATCATTATAACTACTTATAGTTGTGATGTTAATGCGACTTGAAACTTCGAAAACAGCGACAACTACGAAATTATACGATATTACAGATATAATTTATCTTTGTGCGAGGTTAATTGTAACAATTTATCGAGTTATATTACTTCGACTACGTCTTATACTTCAGCAGCTTTCACGTTCCACATCACATCGATGATGCATACCAGCACGTGCACACGCGCGAATAACTTGCATAAAGTAACCAAACGGGAAAACACTTTTGGCCATAGTTTAAAGCTATCAAACAGGCATCCTGCGGATAAAATAAACTCGATATTTCTGGAGCGAAACGCTTATTGCTTCCTTCCCCACACGGACACGCGACACGGAAGAACGAATCCGCGGCCTTCGTTTATCATTCGTAACGTAAAAATGTTTCATTCACCACGAACCGGTGGTTCTGTTACAAACGATAGTTAACACGCCCCGGTGTCTATTCAAAGCTTGCATCTATGACTTTCAAATTGGCGCTGGCTAATTATGAATGTATCGAGTTTATTAGTACCCCATGACCGAAAGTAGGTCGATCCAAACGAGTTCCACGACACCATTTTGAATACCGTATCGGGCAAAGTTACGAATGACGTTTTATTGTTATATATGTAGTATTAAAACACCTTGTTTTATTTAATCTCGCAATTTGATACCACTGTGTAAGTATGCAGCAATGCACAGAAGTTTTAGACAACCTATTAAGATTCACGATGAAGTATTGAAACATTAAACGAAACCGAACAGGTAAAGATAACTTGACAATAAGTTTATTTTACAACAGAACGAGGACCCAAAACACCAATCAAGAGAAATGATTGTTTAATTCAGTTATTATTAGAGAAAGAAAATTTATTATTAGTTACGAAATGATCACTGCAAAGCCACAACTTTAGGGTGGTCAATATTTCTAGAAACAAAGGTAATGACAGAAATAAGAATCTTGAAGTATCAGAAAAAGAAATGTAGAAAGTACCAAAAGAATTTATCAGAAACTTATTCCATCGAACCTCGAATTAATTACTAGCGTTGCAACAATAAATGTCATATGAAATATTACATAATTATATGAAACGAATTATTATTTTTTAAAGACGCTTACTAATTTTAAGATAAAATACTTCCTAAGAAGTATGTAATGCACAAATCCAAACTAATTCTATATATTTTTAACTCCATTCACAAAGTAATAATATGTTATAAAGTATGTTATTCTGGTAGATAGTCCGAAACTTTTGCATAGCACTGTACATTGAAAATATGTACAACTACTTGTACTAAACTGTAAAGAATAAATTTAATCGTACACTTTTTGGTTTACTTAAAAGAAAATTTTGAAGTTTTCGTAGATATCGCCATGACAGGCAGCGTGTCGATCGAGCAATGGTGAAGAATTCTTTTATCTAAAACAGGATAAGGAGCTATTGCCTTCCTGATTACATTACGCTTGACAATTACACTTTTAGATCTGTTTCAATACTCGGTTCTTTATTTTTAAAATAATTTTGTATGTTAAATGTTGTAGGGATACATTCAGTATTAATACACTCGATATCCTTGGTCAGTTTGTAAGAAATGCATGTGAACGCAGTGTGTATAAACAGTGTTTTGTACATTGTGGAAATAAAAATTATTTATGTATGTAATTCGTGTCAGTAATTAAAGTATCTCCTTTGCGGAGCTAGATACAACAATAATCTGCATTCTATGGTATATGTGTACTCATTTTTTAAAAATACTTTTTAGTGTGGACCCACTTGTATTATTTATACATACAAGTTATTAGAACATTTACTATCAGTTTCCAGTCTTTCTCTTTAAAAAAGAATAGTTTTACATGCAAAGAATAGTATCGAACACTTTGCAAGAGATAACAAGACATATTATATTCACAGACCACATTTTCTACTCGGTATATTCAGTCTAATTCGATAAAATATGAAGAATTGAAAACAATACCTATGTACGTATTTACTAAAATATCTATCTCGAGGAACTATCAAATAATTACTACTAACTACTAATATTTTCACATTCTATACAGCATACCAGACACCTCATTCCATAATACTAATCGTCACAGTGGAAGCATAAATGTCACAACAATAACATTAACAATGTACGATCAATAATTAAAAAATAGCTACCTAACAAATTCTAAATCGTCAATTACCGCCTTCAATTTTATCCTTATTACCAGTAAACTGTTTCGATTCAACATTGACTGTATCGATCATCCAGTATCCATTGTTTCCTATTAAAAATAAGCTATAAAAATAGAATTGTTCGTTCAATTATTGTCTTAAAGTTAAGATGCTAGCTCGACATCACTTTGACTGGATTTTTGGTTATTGGCGTCCACGTTTATAGCGCAGGAACTGCCGTCCGTGTTATCTTTGTTATCGTCTGTCAGCCCATCGTTCGACCGTCCCGCGGTTCCGTCCGCCATATTGTCCCTCGGCGATCGTGACGCCTCGTCGTCGTGAACAGTGAACCTTTTCAGATCGACTACCGACTGAGCCGGGATAATTTCTTTTTTCTCGAGCTTCTTGTTTATTGACTGCACTTGCTTCATCGATACATGCGAACAGGAGTCTTCTATGAACTTCTCTTTGGAGCAACACTGCGAGGAACTGCAGTGTTCGCCCTGACAACGAATGAGGCAGCCTGTCTTCTCCATATTTGGCCTCATCTGTTAAAAACATCGACCATTCTACATAGTATACCTGCCATCAATTTTCTATTACTCTGTATTAATTACATTCTATTTTTTCAAAACTTTGGTAACAGCTTACCGATTTTAATGACGTTCATCGAATATTCCTCTTTATACAAAACAACGAATGGAGAAGATACAGTTTGAATTTAAATTACAAAAGAAAAGACAGTTCTTTGGACCGTTTATTTTGAAAGTGGTGTAAGTTCATTTTTTCTCGATTGTTTATACGGAATTTATTTGCATTTATTTGTAACAATAAATACCACATTATCAATATTCCTGAAATCGAAGGTATCACCGCATTTTCAAAATAAAGATCTCGGTTAATTCTGAATACACATAAAATTATATTCCGTGTACCTTGTGAAATTCTGGCTGAATGGTCACTTGTGTTATACCCATTTCTATGAAGAACTCCGTGACTTGATTGGTAATACTAGCATAAACCTGTGAAATATGAACGTTATAACTTCTTCGTCCTAAATCGATTTTTTTAAGATAAATTACCCAACGAAGTCTCACCGTCGGATCCAAAAATATAATATGAACGGTGGATATTATCTTCTGTCCCGTCAGCTGCCAAACGTGTAAATCATGAACGTTCACTATACCCGGAAAAGCTTCCAGCAATTCCCTCTTTAAGGAATCGATATTTATGTGATTGGGGATCGTTTGAAGGAGTATCAGTCCAGAACCTTTCACTGTAAAAATGAAGAAAAACGTTATTCGATGTCGGAATTCCGTTCGACGAAATAAAAGTATGTACTCACTGTACGGATAACTGAGTAAGAAGAGGGAAATCGCGGAAATGATGGCGAACAGAGGGTCAATGTATTTGGCCACACCAGAGTCGGTGATGTATACGAGTGTGGACACCAACATAACCAGAACACAGCCAAGTACGTCGCGACAGGTTTCACGAAAACCTTGGCTCTTTGGTATACCCAATGGGCTCCGTCTGATTTGAGAAGATAGCTGCTGCTCGCCGTCCATCGTCGGCTGAGGGCTAACGTTTCTAAAAACAGATAAAAAACGATCCATGAAATGGAGATTCTGATATATGGCACTGACATCCTGACTATGCATATATAGATAAAGGTAGAAGGCTGAAGAAAGATAGTTAGAGAAAAAGATTAAAATAAGCGGATGATCGTCTATTCAACGAATATTCAACGGATTGGATCAGCATTTTTTAAGGCCATTCATCAGGAACATACTAAGAACAAAACAAATTCCATAAGTCACCGTCTTGTTTTCTGCATTATTTATTTTATTATTTCGTACTCGTATATATGTATTTCTTCTACATCAATTGTGAATCAGAGAAACAATTATAACAAGAATTCTCTTTCATATATCTCTGTTTCCATGTAATTATTAATATACACATATATGCAAATCCTTAAACTCAAGGTACAGCAGAGGCAAGAAAAGAAGAATTTCACTGTTTGACTGTCAATCAGTTACTACAATTCGGTATGCATTTAACTATCCACCGAAATAATAGAAACATATTATAAAATGAAGGTAATATGAAAAGAAATACTACTATACTTAAGGTACCAGCTAATGATTACTTATGAAAAAAAATTGTTTTTTAAGAAAAGAGAAAGAAGGACCACACATATCTTTCCAATTTTGGTATCAAAGAAGCGTTCAAATTATGAATTAATAGTCTTACTATAATTTCTTGATATTTCTATAAAATATCGGCAAACTCCGAAGACTATATTACCCAATAATTTGCACACGTCTGTAAATCGAACTATGCAAAATGAATTGTCAAGAATTATGTTAATAATACAAAAGAAAAAATCAAGTGATTTAACTAAGGTTGAAAATATGTAAAAACCTTATCAAAATAACTTAGAGACTACTATTAACATCCTGCTACTACTGCGGTGGCATTCAATAATATAAAATTCTTTCAATTATTTTGATTACCGTCGCAACATCACGTCTCCGTTCACCGTCACGTGCAGATAGATACCCTGGTTGAAGGTGTATCCTCCGATCAATATGTAGCAAAACGCGTTGAGGAGGATACCGGAAAAGCCGATCGCCAGAACAGGCAACGGATGGTGCATTTCGTCCAGGTGGTCTATGTGGATCAGAGTCTGCAAAGCTTCGACCAGCAACGAGAAGCAGAATGACGCGAGGAAAACACAGCAAACGAGCATGGTAAGGATATCGATCCTTGCCCATCCAAAGGTGTTCTTCATCCTCCTGTCCGATCGTGATTGCTAGAATGTAGAAATAATCTTTTGTGAGAAATATTTCGACTTACAGTATAAGAAAGGGGCAACTCCTGTAGTCTCGGACAGTCTTAACTTATATAACAATTTTTATTATACAGGATGTTACTTTTTCCTCGAGCACCTAAATTATAAGAAAAAATGACTAAATAGGATGTAGGGGAAAGGAGTCTAAAACCATCCCTTTAAGGTGTAATTTATATAGAAAATACAAATGCTCATTATTTAAATAATAGTAAATTAGTTTTTGTAAGTTAGTCTATCTATTTTATCATTGGGTTAAATAAAATTTAGCTACGTGATCAATTATATTTTTTATTCACATTTCTTTGAAGGCATACTTTTTGAAGAATCATTTTGTAATGTGTGTGTATAAAATGATCCCCGGGGATCATTTATACCTACTGATAGTAAATACGACGAACATTAAAAAGCATTTCAGTTATTACATTTTATTTAAATAAAAACAGCTTTGACGCGTTGCTGTTCTTTCATACTGACGGGGCATTGTTCTAACTAAAACAAACAACAATAATATAGCATATGGGTAAAATGATTCCTGGGATCATTTTATCCTACTAGGGAGGGATCATATGACCCCAAACACGTAACTCACATTCAGTGAAAAACGCGTATCAATATGTAAAGAGGATTTAAACATAACTAAAAGATCATATATACGAATGTTATCCTTCTTTTATTCATATTAACGATGATTTTATAGCCACATAAACGTCTTGCTTGTTTGTGAAAAACATCAGTGCCTGATACTACGGAAAATTTCCCTTAACCCCTCAGCGACCAACCTTCATACGTTGAATGGACTATCGTCAGGGTCGGTGCTAGTGATGGGCACCATCGACTAAAAACTATCGACTAAGTCGATAGTAACCAACGACTACTTTCAGCGGACTAATTTTTTCAATCGTCGACTACTTTCAGGCGACTAATATTAGTCGCTTGAAGCAACTACTGTAGTCGATTAAATTTAGTCGCTTCAAGCGACTCGCTCGAACTATCGAGCTATTGATCGCTATTGACTGGATCTTGATTATTTTCTTCGCGATGCAAACGAATTGTAATTTTTCCATATATTTTTTTATGCATTACCAAGAACTGTGCAAATTATTGCTTATAACCTAATTGATTTTCATAAAAAATTTAGAGCAGTTAATTTTTTAAGTGCCAATATTAAATAGCTTACAAAAAATCGAATATTAGTAATTGTTTAAAAAAACTTGTTTATCACTTATATTTTTGAAATTCTATCTATGAACTAATACATTTCGAAAAGGTAAATACACCAATGGTGCTGAAAAGTTGATGACATAATCTATACATAACCTATAAAGCAAAATTTCAGTCGACTAAAAACTATCGACTAAATAGTCGATAATATGTTGCGACTAAATAGTCATTAGTCGATAGTTTAATTTAGTCGATGGTGCCCATCAGTACTCGGTGCTGTGCTGTTAGCCGCCTGCGTGCTAGAGATATTTGGTCGCCCCTATCAATGCTGATTGCGATTAGATTCGTAATCTAACCTAACACATAAGAGCCTGTTTCTATGTTTTTATGACAGTTCCATACAGTTGACAGGGGTAAAAGGTCCGTAAACATATTTAATATATTTATTTTGATTGTATTCAAATAAAAAATCTAGAGGCTTTCAAACAGAAATAACATAATGTACCCATAAAATTAGAACTGTACTCTTCTTGCTGTCTTATTTGCTAATTCATCAATAATATCTGATAATTCTAAAGCTTCACATAATTCCTTTTTTATAGCTAACAATTCTAAATCGTTAAACCTTCCTTGAGTCATTGACGTTCTTAAATATGTTTTCATAAGTTTCGATTTCGAAAAACTCAAAGCTATAATCAAATTAGGAAATGATTTTATATAGTGCACTATTGGCCGCCCTAGGAATTTGACCGCCCACGTGCATGCACGCCCTGCTTCACCTACAAGAACTGGCCCCGACTACCGTTTCTACTACTTCGCCATAAATCCGCGGCTAATAACTTATATTATTAACAATCATCATACGTATAACATAATATTCCCTACATATATATATAATTTCATGGATGCAGTTCCGAAAAGGTCCACCCTCAAATTTTCATAAAACTTGATAAAATCGCCCCAGATGCTCCCAAATGAACGTATGTAAAGATTTTTTAGCGGAATTGAAAATTAACCAATTATAAGATAACACTAAAGTCACATGCTGTATGAATGTAATATGTTCAAAAAATTGAAGGAAAATTGAAAGAATTAATTATCACTTTCTTACCTTGGTCTTCGTCGACAGAGATGTTGCAGATCCTCGTTCCTCATTATTTATGCAAATTACGGAATTTCGTAACGAACTAGTGTTGCTGTTGCCAGTGTGATCAGTCCCGCTTTGACGATGACTATACTACAAGAATCGAATAGACTAGTACATTAAACAAAGAAAATAAAGAAAATTTCGTGAACAAATTAAGATTTGTTTAGTGTCTGTAGACAACGAAAACTCGTGCATAGAAATGTTGCAATGTAGGTGCAATCCTATGATAAATTCAATAATTATGAGTCCTTGATAATAGGTGAGCCTTTGTTCTGTTTGATCACGTTTTATTTTTACATCGATAAGAAGATAAATGACTGGAAATGCATAGAAGCACATGTTAGAGATAGAATTGATTGAATGAAATCAAACTAATTCACAATAAACGAACAAATGAAAATAGACTATTATTGGTTGTTTCAGTATTTAAATCCATCATTTAAAAGTATTTTTGGGGATGATTATTGTAACAACCGAAATAAAAAGATTCAAAGGAGATTCTAAAGAAAGGGTCAATAAGACAAATTTTATACTAATTGAAGACATAGCACAGAAGACACTCAACCAGAATCAAGTATTATAATCTCACGAAAAGTACGACAATATATCTGCTAATTAACAAATTCATAGATCGCATTTGTTTAACTTGCTTAAGCTTAATGCCTCACCCTACAAACTCACAGGTTCTATCAATCAAATAAATATGAAAGTCATAAACTTTCCTTCAAAATATCATATTAGTGACTACTAGTTATTTCAACTTAAAAAAAAACTTTTCCCACTCAATCATGATAGGAATAACGTGAAATTAGTAAATATTGAAATTACATGAGAAGATCTCTGCGACGAGTAAAACAAGCTTACTCGACACAGAAATGCAACACAATACGCGAGGCACTTCACAATTACTGTCAGAAAGACGAGATAACTCGTGTCGTTTGGGCAATGAATGCTCCAGTTAACAAATTAATTTGACATGAAAATATATCAATATTAATGGTACAGCCTACGTACTATCCAGCTTCAGATAATAAAAAGAAAAACAGTAATAAGACGCTATCAGACCTCTTTATAATTCATGAAAAGGCACATTATTGGCGGCTACGACCCCGTTAATGATTTCAAACACGTAGAATATCGTTCGATAATTTCGAGAAGCTTACCTTGATAGATGCAATGCAGCCAGCAAGCGCAATAATATTGCAAAGCATGTGATAAGCGTTTAGTAGCAACGTTAACGAGTGAGTCACATGGCTGGCTACGATCTCGACGATGAAGAAGGTGGTGGTGAAGAACAGGACCAAGTACAACTGGACCGGCTGCAATCTTCTGAACCATTCTTTCACAGCCATGACCCTGCAGTCACACAACTAATGTTCTTATTCCGTCCTGGACCACCACATGCGCATAGATTCCACCTGCCGACTGATCGGTTACCGTTGCATACTCTCTTACGGTGAGCTTTTTCTCTCCTATGTCTCGAGACTTGTCAGTCACTACTCAATGACACGAATTTAAGGTTTGTAATACGAAATAACAAAAACAACCCCTTATACTATATAAGATTCTCAGACTTTTCAGGTCAAGAAAAATCGAGTCGTAACAATATTTAACGTATATTCCAATTGATTATCTGTTTACGGTAACTGTATTATTCTATATTAAAATAACGGTCATCGGTGACTTAGGACTGAAACTGTTAATTGTTGAAAATCAGAGAGGTTTTCTGGTTTGTTCGAGTTTTTATTTGAATATTTCAATGGTAAATAGGGTTACTAATCAATGATTTGCTTCTATCATGTAATACGTTTTATGTGGTATGTTAAATTCGTGGAAATATTTGCAATAGCATCTTTGACATTGCGTGAATATTCTAGAATAAATTTCTGCAATGATAACATCGATGGAAAGTAATAATTCCATCGCGCGTGTATCCTTGCCGGAAAGCCGCCATGTTGGAAGTGCACTGCAGAATATGTACTCGAAGTTACTCTTCCGAAGTGTGACTCATTTATTCAATTATCTACTTTTATTATATCTCTATCGTTGAACAAATCTCGTCATCTAACAAGAAAGAAATATTTTTAAAAACAAATATTTTCAACGTATCCTAAATTGAAAAAAGTAGGCCACTCTTAACTTCTGACTAGTTAAGACTAAAAGCAACGGACGATAGTAATTGTCAAGCTATTTTCTAAAAGACTAAGCACAAGATTAAGATAAAATTAGCCCACCAAAGTAACTGTAATAACCAGACTAACACACGTTACTTCTAACACACAATGAAACACAAAATCTAACAAGCAGTAAAAAAAAATGTTCCTTTCAAATTTTTACTTATGAAACTTCGAAATCACTTTTCCTTGATTTTCATCGTTTCGTAGACACATCCTCAGTCAATAATAACAAAAACACCGATACAATACTGAACTCCGCAAATTTCGATACAACTCACCGATAACTACTCGCGCGAGCTCCCGCGTTTATGAACCTCAAGTGTCACTGGGGCCGCGTTCAAACTGATTCACGTACGGAACAAACCGAAACTCTTCCAAAACCGACAACGCGCACGAGGTGACGATACAATGTGACAGCGAAAAACTGTAATAACCACTGTCGCGTGTAATCAAGCGAGGGGACCGCCTGATCGTGCGCTATCGGCAACCGCTGTTTCTCCGATATTAATAGTACAACTTAGAGACAAAAAGAGATTGAAAAGTACGCACGTTCCTTACCCCGATAAAACATGCCCAGGAGCAGGGTAAAAGGTGACAGACAGCAACGGTCTTCGGTCGCAGTTACATTAGCCGTCGCAATCGGTCGCTGGGTTTCGATTATGATTGTGTCGTCTGATATTGAATGAGGGACTGAAACTCACGAGGGAGCGAAGATCGTGGGGCCGGGGAGGGTGGTGGGGTGAGATAAGGGGTTGGCCAGTTCGAGCAGACGGTCACAAGATGGAAAGTGTCCCGCCTAACGATTCATCGTGCATCACTTTACTTTCGATCGAGTCGCTGCTGTTACTCTCTTTTGAAACGATCCCTCTGACAGCGTCCGTAATTACGCTATATCCGTTAGCTCCATACCGCGACACCGATAACAGACACGAACGGAAAGAACCACACTATTCCCTGGTTGAACTGCTGCACTACACGACCGATCGCGGTTCCCCTCGTCTCGGAGGACGACGACACGGACGGAACACGATACCAACGAACGATGTGGATATGCTACCGGCGACACGGTTCCACCGCGTTTAACCGTTGAACTCTCGGGCTGGAGCGGTTCGGTTCGGTTCGTTTGCTCGTGGTTGACCCGCGCCCCCCGATCGCTGGGCCCCTTCCTTCGACTACCTACCTACGGAAGGTCCGATATTCTTTTGGCCCGAACCGAACCGAGTCATCCCGATAATAATTTCTAAGGTATTATTCCCCTGACGTGTCTGTGCGCGCTGTTCGTGCAAGCAGATTCGGGGAACTGGTTGTTGTCGAGTGGGTGTGTGTTTATGTGTGCTTGAGGCCTTTGACTGTTCGGTGAACGAAGGCGAGGGTGAATCAATTGGGCGAAAGTGATTGCGAATTGTAACTGGAGTCTGAACATTTTACGAGGGATTTAATTCCTTAAGGGGTCATGCTCAGTCAGAAATTTTCAAAAAATCGATTTTTCACTTTCTACATTTTCTTTACGGACAACATCTCGACAATATGTTGTGCAAGTTTCAAAGTAATCTAATTAAAAATGACAGAGATACAGGCGTTAAAAAATGAATATTTTATATAAGTGTAAGCTTGACTTGAAAATTTAAACGCCTTTTTATCGAAACTCACGAGGGAGCGTTTTCTCAAATCGGTGATCAATATTTCTCGAAAACTACTGTGTCGACTTACATGAAGCCTTTTGCGCCTTATTTGAAATCAGAAAAACTTGTCCTTGAACGAAGGATTCTTTTGTTCGTTTCATACTTTTTTTTTAATTGACCAAAAACGACTGATTTTTTAGATGAAAATCGCACTTTTTCAAGAAAACGTCTGCTATTTTGTTCCTAATCAATATTTCGAAAAACCCCACGTTCAAGGACAAGATTGGTTCTTCCATTACATAAATCTTACTGAATTTTTAATTCAGATGAACCGTTACGAAGTTACAGTGATCACGGCAGACCACTTTTTGTAAAGAGACATCCGGAAGATCGCTCACCATTTATTTACTAATAAATATCTTTAAATAAAAAAATTACCTTATAATCTATAAACTGCAATCTTTGAAACATAACACATTTTTTGAAAAAGGGCTCATAGTTTTCGAGAAAAAAATTCCCAAAGAACACTTTTTTTTCGGCCTCCTGACTGAGCATGACCCCTTCAGGGCTTATATGTATACATTTCTCAACATAAAAAAATCGATGTTTCTTTCAAATTATTGAGGAATTATTAAGGAAGTTACAGTCGTATGAATAAAACCAGTCGTGCCGCTTCAAGAGTCAAATTAAAAATTATTGACAAATTATTGCTTAGTAATTATTTTGTCAATTATTTAGACTAAAACTCCAAAGGATGTTTTATAGTACTGACATCGCTGATTAAAAGTAGATTACAGGATTTCCATCTGACGTAACTTTAAAGCTCTTCTAAATCTTCAAACGCGTTTGTCTCGAAACAGCATTATTCAAAACGGTGGACCTAATAACTGCCTCGCCATTCATTCGATCAACTTCGTCTTTGACGTACATTATTTAAATAACTATCTTTATTGGCTAGCGACGGCTTATTTAAATAAATTGAGCCGTTTTTGAATAATAAAGAAAAGATGCATAAGCTTTTCGATGGAAATCAACACACTTTCTGGTAATTATACAGAATAATGGAGCCATCTCAGATTTCAATAACCTTGAAATATTCTGTCGAGGTCATCATTCTAGACAACTTTTTCCTATACATATAATAGTCGGTCTCTTTCAGTTTTCAAGAAATTCGCAAAACAAGTTAATTCAAACTATGTATACTTATGTATAATTCTTCGATAGCATTTGCGTCGAATAGAGTGTTATACAGAGTGTAACAAAAGTTTTGTCCAACCCGGAAATGGGGTACTCGGGGGGTGAATTGGAACAAGTTTTTCCTTAACAACAATGTAATCTGAGGCTTCGTTACCGAGATATTAACGAAAAACCCCGACCAATCAGAACGCGAGTTTACCAGCCGAGTTCCCGCGCTAGCAGTGGCTACGCGCTGTGACTGGTAGGCAGCGTTACCGCGGGAACTGAATTCGGATTATTCATATGACTTCAATCATGTCCACCATTTGGGACAGTTCGGAAAAAATCGTTCTACGTCACTGCACACAATTTTTAACTTTTCGTTCCAGTTTTCTACAGTACAAACATGTATTTTTATAATGTAAATCACTCACAAAATAATCAACATTTTTTAGTGCCACGAAACGTATATGACTGTTTAAACACATTTTAAAATTCAGGAAAACGGTAAAAAAATCACCACTTTTTTCTTTATTTCATCATTTTGTTATATAAATGTTTCTAAATTCACATCAAACACTAGTTTTCGAAAAAAAATTTTATTTTTGCATATATAATAAGAAATTATACATGTAAAATCGAGCTACATTTCCACAACGTGAAATTAAATTATCTAGAGAAAAATAAAGAAAAATAAAAAACTTCATATAAAACAATACAAGAATATAAATGCAATACGTAATAATTAGACTGCGGATTTTTATTCAAAATGTCATTTTATGAAGTGGTTTATAAAGAAAAGAATAAAAATAGAACATTCTGTCTTCTCTCAGGGATCCTAGTGAGATGAAAATAAACTAAACAGTTCATCATACTCGACAACGTTTTTCTTTTTTACTGTATCTCACATACTTTGGCATGCTATAAATACATAAAATCTGCAGTCTAGTGATAATACGTATAATACCTTAGTAGTACAGAAAAGACGGTCATATCTTGGAGGCGGAATTTTACGACCGTACCCAACAAACGTAATACATGTATTACGGAGCTGGCGCTTAAGGTGTTAATGATACGCGTTTGTGTCGTTCACGAATGACCAATTGCTCAGAGAATTGAAGGAATAGATGATTGTTCAAGGGTTCTTTCAGACGTACAACACTTATCGACGAATGTCTTGATTCTTTTTGACACTGAACTAATATCCTAACTCTATTCGAAGTTTTGCATTAATTGAAAGGTGAGAGAAAGAATTAGGAACGTCCATTTTTAGCGATCTTATGATGTAGAACCTATTTTGTTGATGGCAACTGGGACTGCAGAACTGTCAATTGATAAAGTTCATATGTTATACCTATGAAATGTTTTACCTATGGTGGTCTAAAGTATCAAGAATTGATTTCCTGGACAAGGCTGTTTTGTGACGTTCCCTCTTTACCGCTCAATTGTAATGTACTGCCAGCGAAATCGATTAGTTTCTTCTAGTTAATAATATTGTTTGTGATTCAGTTATTCAATAAAATAGCGTTGCTTGAAGGAAACAGGGACACCTGTTTGTCAAGTTCACGCTCGTGTTATACGTTTCGAATGAAAAATTTCAGGCTAAAAAAATAAAAGAATAAAAGCGAAAATAATCGATTTCTCCTCCCACATTTGCCATTTCTCACATTGCCCTCAAGTATTTATAGTATATCCGTGCAAAATTTGAAATCAATTGGATTAGTAGTTTTCAAGAGGTTTTCACAAAGCAATTTGAAAAATAGAGTTTCGAGGAACGTCATTTGAAAGTATTTGATTAAATTAATCACAATTTCCAGTACTTACAGTTTGACAACTTAAATAACTCTTCCAAATGTGCACAATAAACCTTCTTCTGTTTTAAACAAAAACTCTTTCTGAGCTGTTTTCTCCTCTCTGAGGAATTTTTTTTCTTGGCTAAACTTTCAACATGTTAGTTTTATGCGAAACAACTATCTAAAAACTAAATAACACTTCTAACACTAAAATCGTATCGTCAGACATCAGAGATACTGATAAATACATGATCTAGAGCAAAAATTATTTATAATGCATTTACGATATAAAAGTTTCAAAATTTTCTTAATTCTTCGAATGTCAACGGTAAAATTTAGAACAAATTTTCTTAATGTATAAAAAATTTGGATAAAGAGAAACATGGTAATTAAAAGTTATATGAGATAAATAAGTTTTTTGTAGGTTTCTAGTAAAGACGATAGGCTTGTGAAGAATATGACAGTGAAGAGTGTCTAAAATATTAGTTCTCTATTCAATGAAGCACTCCCAAAGATTTAGATTATTGTATTGCCGATAAGAACCTTGTTATGCGTCATTGTCAAAAGGGCGCATAGTTAATGGAAGGAGTGTTTGCGCTGTTATGTATCGAAAGAAACTGTGTAGTTTTCCAAAGTTACCAGGGACAATGTAGTCAGTGTTGACAAATCGTTCGTTTATGTGCGGCCTTCGTCACTCGGTTTAGTAATCGGTCCGCCACTATATTTCCCCGTGAAATTACAGTTTTCGTGCTCGAAACCGGCAAACTGGACGAAACGAATAATGGACTCGCGTATAAACCGAATAATCAATTCCGACATAATATACTTACAAATCCTTATTGGACAGTGAAATTTCGTGTAACAAAAGAACTTTAAAAAATATTTTAAACATTTAATAGAGAATACTATTTCAATTTTCTGTTTATGGGTATTAAGAAAATAAATTCTTTAACGCAACAGGTAAAGTCAAATATGACAA